GTTCCAGAAAATGGATCAGCCTGTTGCACGACTGCTCGCTTACTCTGAGTTACAAACAATACAATGACCGCATCTATAACGAATATAGAACGAGTTACTACGTTCCGAAAATCCTCTCTTTTGTAGGTGTCTCCAACAAAACATGAAAAATGGAAACTTGAGCTATGCTGACGATTTGTTTTAATGGGAAATAAGACTATTTTATATTTGTTTTTCAGACAAACCAACGTTCTGGGCTGTTTGCAGGTCCCGTGTGGTCACAGCTTTTTCATTTTATGATTTTTCTCTAACAGTTAACGCGCACACATGATGTATTTGCGCTAGATATTATACGTTGCCATCCTTTAAAATGTAAATGGTTATTATTCTGTAGGCAAAAGAGCATAGGTGGACAGGACACTTTGTTTGACATCACTACCATAAACGGCAGCGTGAGACGGGTCGCGAGTTCTTAAATGTCACATGTACAAGCTATCAGTTTGCAGCTATTATCAGAAGCCTTTGAGGCCCTAATAAGGTTCGTGTTGCAGATACATTAATTCTCCCCTGGCCTCACAATGGCCGTACAAATTGGCCTCAGAGGATGTCCTGTAGCTCAACTTTATACGCTCGTAATATGTAGCTGAAGTGGAGTAACATTTTCTAGACATGATTTTCAATGTATTGTCTACTATCTTGTTTGGTGTTTAACTCTTAAAAACCTGTCAGAAAACAAAACTTACAGGACATATTTTAAGTAATAATGTTGTCTTGAAATTATTTTAAATGTTACTTGCAACCTTTTATCAAGGTGGAATATTGAATTGGGTAACATATTTTAATCACACAAGGGCTAATTGAATGATATCCATTCGTGGACATTTTGTAATATTTGTACTGTCATTATCATCCACGTATGTTAGACAACATGACTTACGTTGCTTTGATCCCAAAGTAAATAACTAAAGCACTTGTGTTATGGAAATCGGAAACGACGATGGTACCACAAACAATACGAGGCAATATAGAAAAGTTAGTTTTCTGCACTGACCCGGGGGATCGAACACGGGACCTCAGAGATGGCGACACCATGCAAATCTGTGTGCAAGCCACTCGACCATGGGATATCGTCATATGACATAATTATTTTGCGAATAAAATTAAGCAACAATTTTGTCACGCATTCAAGCGGTAATTTGATGTTGGTTCTCCACATCAAAGCATTACGCACTTTGTCTTTGAGTCAAAGGTTGCACGTTATTTCCAATTTGTAAGATAATTGCAATCTGAATATTATCGTTTAGATAGAATCTTTTGAAACGATCAAATCGTTTAGATGTGCTTATGAACCATTAAATAGAACACTTGTTTTGTTTTCACGATAAAACTTATCTTCAGTGGTTAAAACCTTTGTGCTGCCTTACCGCGCCCTTTAGTCTGTTCTGCTTACTGTCCGACGCTTACGATACGTCCCATTTGCGAAATCTTAGAAATAACAATATGTAAAAAATAAGATCCTTCGAAGAGGATTTTTCTTGACCACTAATCTTGAAAGGAATTGCGTAATCATGTTGAGTCTATCGAAATGAATAGATAAAGTTAACTAAATGGAGATAATTTGTATTGACAATCTATTCATCTTGGAAGTTATCTGATTCTTATACTAATGGCGGGTTTATTGGAAAGAACTGTAACATCCCTATGCAATGTCACTGTCACCGTTGATCAAGCTTTGTGCGATTTACGGCAAATCGACGAAACAATCGCAGTAATGGTACAGATGCAGTATAGGTATGTAATTAATTTTAGAGCACGTTATTTATTATTGATTTAGATTTGTATTTAAGAGGTACAAGTATGTTCTATATATTTTTAAATAAGGCCCTAGCGTATTCTTATTGTATGTTCTATAATTCCATTGTTTATAAGCTTTATTGTCATTGCAATCTCTCATAAAAATACCAATATTTTTCTTTGCACATAAAGCAACAAAACAGTCCATAATTACTATTAATTACGGTAAATTATGGTTCTTAAGTTTTTGAAAAATAATAATGAAAATGAAGAATACAAATCTATATAAGAATAGCATAATATCAGTTTTTTTATACGCCCTTAAATGAATAGCGTAATTACAGGGCACCTTAAAAAGTATAGTGGCTATTACAAGTCGCGGAGGGGTAATAATTACAAGTAGCGGAGGATAAAATACATGGATAGTAATTTCTATGAAAAATTAGTGCGTGTATTAAATGTAAGGTCGCTGACCGACTTCCAGAAGTCCAAACTCAAGATCTGCAAGAGGGAAGTGGAACGCAGCATTTTGGGCTTTAAACGCATTGACCGAGTGCGCAATACTCTGGTGCTCTCGATGACTGGCATTGACGACGGTGGGGAACAAACTAGGGTCACATGGGATTGGGCGGATCGCGTTGGCCGAATGCGACCCGAGAAGTGGACGAACGTCGTCATTCGCGATGCGTGGGGCCGGCCGAGAAGGTGTTGGCTGGATTATCTCGATGAGTTTGAGGAGTGGTGGGAAATCGTCAAAGAAAGGGAGCAGTGAAGGATTTTGGGGTAGACCTTTGCTGTGCATTGGGACACAGTACGTTAATGAAAAATAACTTGTAATTAGTAACCATAGATTTAGTATATAGGTACTCATAGATTGGCAATGCAAGTGAAAGAGCGTTAGTATACACGTATGTTACAGCGAGATGGGTAGACGAGACCATTTAATAAAACGCTATGAGCCTGTATGAACCTAGGGTCAGCTGACAACGAAACAAATTTCGTTTATTTTTGAAAAATAATTGGTTTTAAAATGAAAAATAGTGTTAAACGGACGATAATGCCGGTGTAACATGTGAATCGATATTAAAGTTAAATCAGTGGATGGCGCAACACTGTTTATCTTGCACACATGCACATTATACGCACACAGATGTATTTTTGTTTTGGTCTCGTCTCCAATACTTCAGGGCCAATCTATTGGATATACTAAATCTATGTTAGTAACATTCGTAACACTTGTTAAGACAGTTTTAATGGGTTTACAAAGAAGGAGACCAAAGTACATACATCTGCCCTCCTTATGATAACTAACGTAATCGTCATTTTTAGCGATCTGGGATCGGCGACACGAAATCTACTCGGTTTTTTTATATCTATTTAGTTTCAGTGTCATTGTTAAGGCGAGGTTTTTTAACGCGAGCCTACATTTTAGGAAGTGAGGTGTGGGGAAACGCCACTCGCGTCCCGCAACTCGAGTGCTGATATTTGAAATGGATAAAATAAGAACAGGCGGAGATCATTTGACACAGATCCAACGTCGACATGCGCCCGATAGCGACTGATGGGGCAGCTGGCGGCGCGACGCGTCGTTAAGCCGGAAATTTTAAATTCTTGGGATAAATATGAATTTAATAACCACAAGGCTTCGGTTGAAAACCAAAATGTAGCAGGTTCTATGTAGTACTCAAAGAGAAATATCTCCATTAAAATTCGAACAAAATTAGATTATTGTATTCTTAAATAACTACTTTTGGCCTTAACTAACCAACCAAACACCTGTTTTAACCTGTTTTACCTGTTTTCACGATTTTATGTCCTATCATGTAATAAATTAACACATCCTTAGGGTTATCGTATCGTATTTTTTCGACAAAATTAGTGACACTCTTTATTTTATTACGTTTCGATTTGCATGGACAACACAAGAACAAACAAAAAGGAAAATGTTTAAAAATTACAATTTTTTTAATGCCGTTTGTAACGAATTAAGAGGGAGCAGAGGAAAAATTCCTAATCTTCAATTTGATTTTAGAGGGGTATATCCACTTTAAAGTTAAAAATAAAATACTGTATGAGTAACTACACGATATATTCAAGCATAGACATTAATCAGAAACATAAAACAATAAAGTTTCCCCGATAGATAAAAATCACGAAACGACCTCTAATTTTCACATTTTTTCGATTCATCCTCGAAATGCTACAGGTTATTAGGACAAAAATTAGATAATTAATTATATTTATGCATGATCGAGAACTGTCGCATGTCACGCGAACTTCAGGCATATAATATATTTGTTTCACAAATTTGGGCGGAGCCAACGTCAAAACTTTTTTGGTATGCTCCTCCCTCTTAAGCAAAATCAACGTAATCGGCATTTTTATTAGCAAAAACACTTTAGGTGCCAATATCTCGATAGTTACAGAGATGAAAATGCGTTTGTTAAGACAAGGAGCCCTCGTTACTTCCCGGTACATCTCGCAAGTTCTCGGGGAATATATATTTGTCAAAATAATACAAGGTGACGATGATTTAGCCATAGATTCAACTCATTTATTGTGTGTTAATAGCTTCCTTAATAATAACACATATTGGCAGTATAACTCAGTCACAAGATTGAAGTTAAAGTTCCACTTGAATAGGTCTTCGGGTGATATATTACGATCATTTCGTGTGGGTATGTTATTTGAGATAAATGTGTGGGGTGATCACGAAGAGCCCTTTATAAGACCGTGCTTCGCATAATGCGTGTATATTTTAGTTTATATTGGATTAAACAGGTTACTAAATATGGGTGGGTGTACTTGCTTTAGCAGTGTGATTTTGGTTAGTTAAATATTGACAATTGAAGAATCGATTGATGATTGATGAAAAAAAATGATTACTGTAAACAGAAAATTGATAATAGTATATTAAAAATAAAAAATGAGACTTAATGATGATACGAAACAGCACCATGGCTAATATTACTTGTGCGACTACCATTTTTACAATTCAGAGTAGCGAAAGAAAGCATTTTTTCACGATTATCGAGGTTTTGCGTGAGATAATTGACACGACCATAACTTAATTAGCGTAAATGGCGGACTGACATCTAGTATGCGGAACTCCGCGTACTGTTGGCACGCGTACCACTCCCACTGAGCACATCTTCTATATTTATTGTCCTGTGGTTAAATATATTTGTCCTATTTACAATGGTTTAATTTCGTTGTTTATTTGGCAGACGACTCATGGCCAGAACCCCAGACCACGGCTCGTACCCGGCTGCGACATTCCCGCCATCTGGACAACCAACCTGTGAGTATCTCAGCATCTTATCACTTTATCTCCATCCCGTCATCCAACGCATCTCTTTTCTGACTCCATGGAATCTTATTCAAGGCTTTTATGTCCATGCATGCATATTTTTTATGTATACCGTTTACGTATGGCATTTTATCTATTTTATTTAGGCAGTAATTTAGGTTAAATATTAACCCGATTTATTTCTCTATCCGAATGCATGGGGGTTATGGTTAATACTGGTAACACGTACAATTTAACTTAACTGGCTTAGATTAAATTTGAGTGACAATTTTTGTACCTTCTAAAGATATCATTGACCCTGTGTTTTAATCATCCTCTAAGGTTTTTATGGCATTACGTTGATGTTTCGTATCCTTTTGACAGTCTAATTCTGTATTGTTTATTTATTCTGTTTGCAGATTTATTTCTGTCCCGTCACCAAATTTCAAACTTTCTTAATATGACCTTCTTTATGACACTAACCAAAAACTTTATCCATATAGCGTACAAGGAAAGAACATGGGAAAATCCTAAAAGGAAAATCAAAAAAAAAGAAAGTATGTATACCTATGCATGCCGTAATAAATAAGTTTTAATATACACACATATATATATAAATAAAATAATATTACTTATTCACTGTGCATCAGTGCAAATAAAGCATATTCTATAGGAAATTCTAAATTAGAAACTATAAAATCATGGTAGAGGTGTTGTGTAGATTTTAAGACTTTCGTGGTTATTCACTAAATGATTATCACTAGTATCAGGTTTCTTATCACGGTATGACTTCTTTTTTTTTTTTGAAAGAAGAAGTCATACCGTGGTAAGAAACCTGATACTAGTGATAATCATTTAGAGGTGTTGTGGTTTTTAGTGGCAAAATTATCACCAGCAATCCTTAAAAAAAATAGCACAGCTACGCTCATACCAGTCTGTTACAATTAGACCTTACTAGCTATTTTCTAGTTATTTTCAATTAAGAAGTGATTACTCGAAACTTGCACATGGCAATAGTGATTTATTTTAAACATATTTAGAAAATTTACATAAAAAGTTTTAAAAGTAAAGGCCATTTTATTGAGCTAGGCCGGAAACGTTCAGATTCCATTTTAATTTAATACCTTTAATACGCACCCTGCAGCGGACGCAAAAACGTATGAGCGAGATGTTTTAGTAGATATAATTATGCTTCAATAATATATTTTTTTCACATTTAAGTTTATCCATTTCGTTATTTTTAGTAACAAGTCATGAGCACTTCAAGCTTGACACTTTTTCTACCATTTTTATCGTAAGAGGCACAGAGTTGGATTTGAAATTTGATCTGTACTTGACCTTGTATTTATTTATTACAAAGCGCCTTATTTTCTTATTGCGGTTTTCCAATAAATCCGTCGATAATTTTCATTTTGATTTAATTTCAATTTATCGTTGCTATAATTTTGATTTAGTACCATAACCTATTTATTTTCAGGCTAAACTTGAGGTGAAAGACAATCACAAGCCGATTTTTAAGGACTGCGCGAAATACCACCCGAGCGTAAAAGAAGAACAACCCATTGGAACCTACGTTATGACAGTAAGTTGCATTTTACTTTTCGTTTTAATTTTTTGAAATATTTTTTCCTGCAATCAGCCAGATATAGACACGGCGATAGAAATATTTACCGTAACCTACCTCCCTCAAGAGATCGAACACAGTAAGGAAATAACTCGAGCACCTTAAACGTTTATCGTTAAAACAACGGGCGCGCGCCCGTGAGTGAGTTTGAGTGTGAGGTTACTCACGAGATTTTTGAGCTTTTTGCGATTGTAACAAAATTTCGATTCTAATTTCGTCTAGTCTCGTCGCATTGTGTTCAGAGTCCTGACTGTAAATTTGTATACATTCAAACTTAACTACCGTGTTTACGTTAAGATTTTTATTTAGTTCTTAATTATATATTTATGAGGTTTAAAGTAAAATGTTAACGCAAACGCGATAGTTAAGTTTACATCTTTGAAAACTTACCAGATACGTGCATTTGAAACGTAATTTGAGATTTAGCGGGTGTATATTAAATAATATTTCAGGATACTACATTCGAATATAAAAATAATACTTAATCATATTAATGTGAAGGGGTATAATATATAAAAAATAAAATATATTATTTGATCTGTGAATATGATCGACATTGTCAATAACAGCATCTATCGCACTCGAAGTACTGTCGCAAATTAAAATATTGTGGAATTGAGAAAAAACGATTTGAACATTTAAAAAATACGGAATGTAACTAATGTATATATTCTCATTTACAAATGGATAGTTAAGTATTATGTGTAAATAAAAATAGTCACATTATTGGAAGTAAGGTCCATTTAGTACTTTTTTGTTGATTTTTCAAATTGTGTTACATACAAATATTTTGGAAGGAGAAACTATTATTCCCGATCTAAATAGCGTCTATTCGTTTTTCGAACAAACCGGAAAGCTTTGTTTGATGAATATAGTAACGTGACTTACATTCGAAAAAAATAGTTTTCCTTTCCAATCGCGAAAACGTAACAGAAAATATATACATATAAAAGTATACGTCGGAATGACGATGAGTTTTATTTTTTAAATTTAGAGCAATTTTAGTAAACAATTTGCAGTAAGACCATTAATTCACTTTTACTGATAAATTGTTATAATTGAAATAAAAACAATAGCTGTTTCGCACCTTTTCCTCGTAAGGTGTGAATGTGATTGATCAGCATGAAGTTAACTTACAATTTATTTGCTAGATTGAATAAATTGGGTATATAATGTAATATCACAGTAATATACAATAAATAGAGATTCCTTTTTCAAAATTATAGAAACGCATTCTTTTGTTTTTTACTCTGTGCCACTAAAAGTATACAATTTAAGTTGAGTATCAAAACAAATAATTATCTTCAATAAAAGTTGTGAACGTTTTTTTGATTTTAATAGAAAGTAGATTGTTTTTCTGAAAGTAATTATTTAAATAGATTTACTTTTCTTTTTTTAGACATGTAGTATGTAGGTGTTCATTAAGGTAGTATAACTCTATTGTGGTGATAAGATTCTTTTTTTTCTACAATCTGTCCGTGCAACTAGCAAACAGCCTATGTAGCAATTTGTAAGGGCCATTCAAAAATGGTTTTGCGAACCATATGTAAAGGAAGTTATTCAGTAATCATTATCATGAGTAGAGTTACTTCCATACTTCTTTATTTTTTATTTATTTTTGTACACATTTTTTTATTGCGTACGTATCGTACTATCAGTGCCAAGGTTCTTTTACATTTTAAGTTCGTTTATATTGTGCTTTTTTATTATTTTTACATTTGATTACATTCTATACAATTTCACAGGTTGAGGCTGTGGATCGAGATCCACCAGATAGAGGAGGTTCAATCACTTACAATTTTATCTCCACATTTAATGAAAAGGAACGATTCAAGGTGGATCCCGTTACCGGGATAATTACAACTGTCGACGTGAGTATTACAACAATTACGCCTTGTTATGTAAACGCGTTCCGTATATTATACTTTTTTTATTTATTACAAAAACTGTAAACATTCTTTGTTGCAGTGATCATACTCAAACTTGCAATGCATCTCAAACTTACAATCTTTACAGTGAAGTATTGTACATGTGTATTTTCTTATAAGCCCTAAGTAATATGAATTGCAATTATATTTTAACAGATTTTCGATCACGATGAACCCGCCCGTGAAAAGGAGGTGTACATCACTGTCCGCGCCACCGATAACGGCCAACCAGAGCTCGACGACGCCTGCACTATAAAGATTAAAATAGAAGACATCAATGACAACCAACCTGTCTTCGACAAAGTAGTTAGTATTCTTATCAATATCAATAATTTTATTGATTTTATAATTTTATTGGCGCTGAATATATATCATTCGGGCTTTTGTTATTTTTATATAATACTACGTTTTAGTCTATGACCACGCTTTAGGAACGATCATGGGAATTTGTTTGAAGTTTCAAGGAACATAGAAGTATTAAACAGCGACAGACATCGACATTAGAGCCTAATAGACGGCACATGCAAGGTGAACACTTACTGTCAACACGTTACACTAATATGTCTTACTTAAGACACCGCGCGTACACGGGCGTTGACTCAAATCGCGGAGAATTGTGACCTGTGAATGTATCTGTGTTTCTACTACAATAAAATACTTTAAAGCATAAACTTGCTCCGTGTGCGATAAGATGGTGTGGCATTAGTAGCCAAAAATCTGATCTCAAAAATGACGGCATAACTTTTCATAGGTAATTAATTTCAGTAACATAGTTGATGACAACAAATTATTTAGAGCTCAACTTAGACTGGCTATTGTTCGTGACGAAAGTAGCTCCGGTAGATGCATTTTATCAGTGCGTCCTTTTCTTTCAAGTGTAAATTATAAGTCGTTGTCTTTTCTTTTTTTTTCTATTATTGGCACATCTGACACTAGTCAGACAACACTAGTTATATACTACTTAATTTGTAAATTATAAAGTAGTGAGAATTAACAGTAGTGAATAAGAAAATTAGACAAAACTTTGCAATTTAATTCAAATAATGCTAATATGAAAAGTGCAATGTTTATTCATTATACCACTCGGCTTTTCTGTGGAAGTTTGTTTTTAATTAATTTGTAACACGTGTTTTTCTTAAATTTTACATGGGTGTATATTTTACAAATGTGCATAAAATTATCTAATGTCGATGGCGATAGACAACGGTACATAGATGCGTCTCTTTATAGTAATTGGGTTGCCAGTGAAACCTGGCAATTTTGAATAAAGAATTTTTTAACACATAATCTCATTAAAAAGTGCAAAAAACCGACCTCGAAAGAAATGACATCTATTTGCCAAGTTTTATTGAAATCGGTTACCGGTAAGTCTGTGAAACCGGATTAAACCTAGTTTGCCATCCTTAGAGATGGAATATTTTCTTCAAATTTAAATGGGACCACTACTGAGGTACCCTCTAAGAGTCATCAAAATCAGTTCAAAAATGTGTTTATCGCGTAAGATACATACAATAACAAAAAACAATACGAATTGAGAAACTCCTGCTTTTTTCGAAGTCGGTTAAAAATGAGAGCTGATGATTCTTTCAGTTCAAGAAGATCACAGCAGATTAGTGATTTGATGCATGTATTTAATTATTAATATTCAAAGTCGCGTTCATTCAAGTTAATTTTAAATTATAATGAACGATCACTTTGAGTACCACAGGGGATTTTGGTTCAGTCCGCAGGTGAAGGGACCTATCCATCGGTTTTGAGTCTGTGCACATCGCTCCCTCAATAGCAAAATGACATAATTCGTAATGTGTAATTTTTGGGTAATTGGCACAATAAATAAAATAGAATAACTATGATACTATGTAAAATTAATATATTGCTCTAGTAGTCTTAGTACAGGAAATTCTGTAGTTTGAGAGGTTATTGGCGGAGTTGTCTGGCTATGATGTACAGTTCAACTAATCTGACACTTTTTATATCCGTATTTGATTTGGTATTAAGTTCAAACGTGTAAGCGTCCTCACAGACGATCCCCACTTTCTTTTGTTACCGCACGGAGTTGTTACCATTAGAGATATATATTTTAAATAGGCTTTTTTTGTACGGAAATAAAATCTGATCAAAATTGTGGGTCATGATTTATTGTGTTACTAATATAGTCATGCGAAATTGTTGGTAAATAAATTGAAATGAAAACAAGACAACAATAAAGTACATCATTTTGAATTAAAATTATTATATATGATAAATGTAATAATTGCTAGACATGGGAATCTGTATTCGGGTGCATTCGGAAATAAAAAGATTGATTTAGAAATATTAAGAAAATAGTTGTACGGTACGGAAAAGACTGACTGAGTAATAGTAGGAAAGAAGTTTGTACGGAAAAGATTGATTGAGAAAAATATTAGGAAAAATGTTGTACAGTACGGTGTCATTGAGTCTACTTTGTCAACGTCTTAAAAATTACTTTTCAACATTTAGTTACTTTATATTTGAGGGTGCGATGATGTATGGACCAACACCTATGTTATCAAAGGGAAAATCACAACGTTTTCTGCTATGTGGGGCGTACTGAAAGTTCCTGGAACTGGCCACTTGTAAAAGAAACTAAAAATAAACAAATACGAAATTTGAAAAAAGAATTTTCTGTGAGTAGGTTATTTTTTACTTTATGAGACTGTCATTTGTTATTTTCATTGTGGTGTCGTTTTCAAAACTGTAAGTCACTATTACAATGAATTTCATTCGTAAAAATTTTAGGTCCATGATTTTTACGATTTTCGATGTGGCTTAAGTCAACAAGATAGTTGTCAGAGACTTCAATTGGCATTTGGTGATGAAACCTTAAGTCGTAGCTTCGTGTATTCGTGGTTCAGTGAATTTATATGTGGACGTCATCATCTCCATGACGTTGTACGTGTAGGTCGGCCAGCGACTGCGGTTACCGAATTTAATATTGATACCGTACGACTGATTGAAATTGACAAAATAATTACATATCAGCAAATTCGCACTGTATTAGGCATTGGAGTGAGACAGGTGCAAAAGATATTGCATGTGCATCTTAAGGTTCGGAAACTTTGCACTCGATGGATACCACGTAATTTAACGGAATACCAGAAACGACTGCGTGTAGCGATAAAATGATAAAAAAGTTTAATGGAGAACAATCATTGGCTATATATATTATTGTGACAAGTGACGAAACTTGGATATACTTCTTTGAACCGGAAAGAAAAAGCCGATCCGGTGAATGGGTCTCTCCATTTGAAAATTCGCCGACGAAAGTTAAGAAAAGTCGGAGCATTGGTAAGAAAATGGTTGCTTCTTTCTTCGGCCAATCAGCACATTACACTACTGTAGTGCTTGAAGACCAAAGGACAGTTACTGCAGATTGGTATGTAAACACCTGCTAGCCCAGAGTGTTGGAAAAAACTCGCGAAAAGCGTCCTTAATCACGACAATGCCTCTGCGCATTCCGCTAAGGTAGCGAAAGCGTAATTGAAGGCGTCAAATGTGGAGTTGATGACCCATCCGCCATACAGCCCAGACGTTGCACCATGCGGCTTTATTTTGTTTCCAAAAATCAAAGATAAACTTAGCGGTTTCCGATTTACAGGCCCGGAAGCGGCGGTGAATGCGTTCCACGAAGCCATTGAAGAGGTCCCTACGGAAGACTGGTCCCACTGCTTTTCACAATGGTTCCAACGAATGCGTGTGTGTAAATAGGGAGGGCATATACTTTGAAAAACAATAAATCTATTATAACCATATCTAGTCATAATATCAGAATCCAGAAACTTTCAGTATGGCCTAAGTACAAGACTTGTCTAATGTTTTAACCTTTTATGACTCTGTGTTACTTCTAGGTAAAGCCATTTATAGGTCTTGATCTTGGATGGAGAAATTACAATCGAGTTCGCAGGTCTTTCTTTTTTGGATTTACGTTGTGTTCCTTCGTAATTGTGTTTAAACTCGTTTCAGGTTTTATCGTTATACTAACTATTTTAAATTTCTTTTTTTCTAGAACAAGTATGGAAAGGAAAGAAACGCATGTACCACAAACTGTCGACAGAACTATTACGTAATTTAAAAAAATAATAATATCCGATTGTTACCTACATTCTCGAAGTTTATTAGTTAGTTCATATATACAATATGCGTTCAGCAAGGACAGGATTGTTTGAATTCGATAATGAAAATTTATAACGAATTTTTTGACAATTTTTCTTTAACGCTGTCCATTGCTGATTTGTATTAAATTACCACGTATATTGCGCAACATACGTTTTTTGTTCCATTGCGTCAGACTGTGTCGGTAACAATCTAGTTTCTAATTATTTGTGGTCAGCATGCTTAATATTTTGTAGGTAGCCGCGTAGGGCCGACATCTTTCATTTCCCGCAGTAGTTTTCGCACGATTTTTTTTGCACATTTTTAAGTTGTGTGTTTTTCATTAGTTAAGCAATCTCTATACCTATGTGCATTTATCACTGGCACAATTATGATTATTTTTCGAGAATTACGCTTCGTGTTACATTGAAGCACACCGTATGATATTTTCTACTTCAGTTTTACGAAGTACACGTACTTAAGGCCTCTTTCACAGCTATTTGATGTGTGTTAAAGACCTTTATATTTATAAAGGCAATTTTTTTTTAATTTGAACTAAATATTTCTTTTCTCATATGCAGACGTATATGGAATCTGTCCCCCAAGACCTGCCTGTTGGTCGGCCGGTGATGCGCATTTCTGCCACTGACATCGATGAAGGAGATAACTCCATCGTTCGCTATCAACTGGATACCAACTCTCCTGACCAGCAGTATTTTTACATCGACAAGGATAACGGACTTATCTTCCTTAACAGGAGTATAGACGTAAGTAAATGATATACATTTACCTCAAATGGCTTTGGTTGATTCCTCACAACAGCGAAACTGTTGGAAAAAATATATAGTAAAATTGAGATTATTATTATTAATAAACTGATTAATACGGTGTGAAAACACGATAGAAAAAAATACAAAGTTACCTCGAAATTTTACAAGAAAACCGCTGTATTCAATAGGTATTTTACATATACCGACGATTTTTTTATATCAACAGGACTAAATAGAACACGTATAGTATACATTAGAATAATAACGCATAGAAACCTAGTCCGCACACGCTAAGTGAGGCAAATTGAAGCGCGCCTAAAGGGCCTACACGAGCGGGCGGGCCGTCTCAGTGCTCAAGGTCAACTTGCACTGCGAACAGATCAAGAATTTTAGCTAAAAATGACGAAATGTGCTGTAAATGAGTGTAAAAATACGCTCAGACAAACATAAAATAGATACTAACATCACATTCCACAAGGAAGTAACGCGTTTCAACTTGTATTTTTATATAAATATTCACTAAAACCGAAAATTAACCTACTACTAAAACTAGCCTACATGAATCTGATTTTTGCCTCACTTGTGACAGTTCGTTTGATATGAAACTATCATTCTATGCGTTATTATTCTAAGTAGTATAACGATATAAATTTATCAAATGGCTTCAATTTCGTTTGTAAAAAATTAAATTCTGAAATGAACCTAACGTCCATGCAGTTCAACCCAAGCAAAGTGAACCGTATTAGTACGGGTAAAATTGGAATTCACACTGAGGCCTCTTAAAACTAAAATAAAGCAATTGAAAAGTAGATTTCACAGATTTCTCATAGATGACGCTACGACTAAAAAGTCGTTGAAAAACCAAATACAAAGACACGACGCAAGCACATAGAAAAATTCCTGAGGTCCGCTGAATCGTTCCGTGGCTTAGTTGGTATAGCGTCTTGCACGGTATGCAAGAAGACGTCGGTTCGAATCCGACCGAATCGAAGGAATTTTTCGGAGTGTTCGATCTTTGTATTAATAATTATAACAAACTAGTGGAGTAATTTTACAAAAAAAAATAAAAAAAATCAATTCAATAAAAATGTAATTAATTGAAAAGTATTTATGAGATATTTCTTATTGTTACCATAAGGACTATTATTGCATCGTTTACAGCAAGAATTAGCATACACTAATATTAACAAGACAATGAATTGCAGAAACCCGCGGGCTACAAATTCCATCTGAGCGCAGTGGTGACAGATAAAGGGGAACCTCCTCTTCAAAGCTCCATGACACTGGACATCGCAGTCGTTGAGTCGAATAAAAAGCCGCCAAGTTTCACTGAGGTCCCAAGAGAACCTATCAGGCTAAAGGAGAGTTACGCCAACTTTACCCATCCCATCACCATTCTTAAAGCCCAGTAAGTATCTATAAATACTATAAATCTGCCGTGCTTACGTTAAGAACAATAAGACTGTGTTATTATAATATCCTCAGTAACATGATACTCAAAGTTCCAGTTAAGAAGTTTCGTGAGATTAATTTGCTTCATGTTCCATTTAGTCGTACAAATTTTAGAGTGAATAGTTATCTACCAAGATCTATAACATCATTTAACCAACTCAATGACGACTGTCGCATAGATCTTTTCTGTAACAGCGTTACGAATATAAAAACTATTATGACTTATTTTCAAGTGAGTGATAAAGCGATTGTTGTGTTCTCATAGATGTGTTAGTTAGTTATTTATGGTAGTGTTATTTTCTTATTTTTATATGTGGAATCTTGTAATCGGTATCTGATTATTTATATTTAGAGCCATATTGTAAAAGTAGCTGTAAGCTCCCCTCAGATAATAAAATAAAATAAAATATCGTAAATAGTATGTGTTTACTATTTACGAACTTATTTATGAACTGTATTTGGGTAATCAACTTTTATTTGTCCGACGACCAACTCATTGTGTCCCAGACAAAGTGAGACCACTAACAAGAATTCTTTATATAATTGTTTTATGTATGGTTTTCTTAAAATAAATACTGAAATAAATATATAATTAACCAACATCTTTACTAAATTATCAAAATTATCCATTATTTAATGGTTGTCCGAGTGACCCAAAACTTCGATCCATAGTATTAACGTCTGTCCTCAAGTAACTGTCGCACCATGATATTTCATACCACGAAAAACAAACAATATCCAGCGATTATTTGTAATTACATATTTAAACATTATGATTATAACTGTTGTCAAAAAACGTATCGATATTTTTTATTTTATCCATTTTAGGATTTTTTGCGTTAAGTTTTGGTCCCCATAAAATCTTACGTGGCTCAAGTCTATTGGACAACCGGTAAAACGTTCTAGCAACAATACACAGAACATAATGCTATAATGATAAACAGCTATTCTTACTAGCAAGAGAAGACACTTCATCGCCGTCTTGATTTCGGCCCAACCGTGGCATCAGTTGGCCGAGTTGTGCTCAAGAGAGTGGGTGTGTTTATTGTGTGTCCCCCGGACCACCACAAGAAATAGGTAAATAGATTGTTATATCATACTGAATTATGGTGCAACAGATTCTATTTACTCTTGGTTTCATTGTGAGAGTGATATAAAAGACACAAAACCTCACTTCTTTCTTGCTTAGGTAGCTTAAATTTCAAAAAGTCCCTTGGACAACCAAATTGGTTGTCCGTGGGACCAATTCGTGTAGTTTGATTCTTTATATAATAAAAGTACAATTTTCCTAGATTTATTTGTTTAAAACACTTGTTCTATATGATTTTTGGAATTTACTTTATAGAATGGGAATATCTGAAAAGAAGCAATCCGCGTACCAAGCATCTGCAGATGCTTGACTGCGCAAAGCTCCGAGTACTCGGAATCTGAAGAAAGCTTTTAATGTAGCGGGCAAGAAATGCAAAAGCGTGTTACATAGGGCCAAGTTCGATCATATGCAAAAGCTCCAAGCTTGCCTCTTATCCAGCAGGTAGCAAATCCTTTTGGTTCCTGGCCAAAGCGATCCAAAGTAATTTCTGTCGCCCATCTTATGCCACCTCTGCTGAGACCGGATGGCACGCTGGCCGATACTGCAGAAGAGAAGGCGAATCTCGTTGCCTCGCTCTTGGCAGAAAGTTCGCGTCTGGATGCCGCAGGGAACCTACCAACTACCTTACCTCAGGCTGACTGCACTATGGCACCAGTTCGCATACGCCAAAAAGATGTACTAGAACTCTGCGGAATCTTGACTAGAATAAAGCTAGCGGGTACAGATGGAATTCCAGCAATAGTCCTACGTAACTGTGTGTAGGCATTAGAAGCTTTAATATTTCCTTTGGACAACCAAACATGTCTGTTGGACAACCTGCCTGTCCCCATGTTTAACAATATCATTATCCTTTTTATTTTTTATAAAGCACAAAAATGTTCAGTGAGCTTTAAGAGATAAATAACACAGTATGAAAAAAAATTTGTTGTTGTTTTTTTATAATAAATAATATTCGATTTACTATTTTAGTGGATAATTTCACTGAGTGATAGGTCAATCGTTGTCCAAGAGACAGTGTTAATGGTGATATTTCTGAAGTTATATATCATACCGCTCCAACAAATATAAGAAGTTATAATCTATTACATATTTCATAAACCTGAAGTGTTGCTTTTATTTTTAAATAAAGTTTACATGATTAAAAAATTTATTCAACTAGTGATATAGGGGACAGATGCTATTGGGTGGGTTCCTTCGGATTTTTAAGTCAAAAATTATATTTTTCTGACGATATTTGCACTGCTAATCGCTGATTCCTATAAAAGAATCAAATATCTAGCGTATAAAATAATAATGTGTATTAAAATCTTCAATCAAATTAAAATTTAAAATTTCATGGACAGGACATTTAAAAGTTGATTTACCCATTTATGGAGTGGAAAAGAAGCAGCAAATTGACTGTAAAAACACACAGCTCCGGAACAAAAGTATTTTTTTATATTCTACAAACTTCAATAAGTTGTATTACTGACCATACTAACTGCATTTTTCTTAGCAATTAACTTTATTGACCCTAATAAATTCTACAGAAATGACCTGGATTCACTTGGGAATGAATTATATCCCAGATCGTATCGTAAACCGGAACTATTGTCATATTACAAAAAACATGGAATGTAAGCCGTTAAATAAATAATAATAAATAGTAATGTGATTTTTTATTATTATTATTATTATTATTATGATTGCGTTATAGGTATAATGCATGTCTACTATTAAAGTCGCTTTCACGTTTGCCGGAGGGCATGTAGTGCCGTAAGTAAAAATTTTTATGGAACTAACGAAACTGTGATGAACGTCTTTCTTCAGCTGAGAACACGCGGGATTGTCAAAAGTCACTATTTGTGCCTTTAGTTCAAGATCAGGAAAATCTGCGTTCTTCTTCCTAAAGCTTACGACATAAGGAATAGGACTGTCGGCTATACAGATGCCGCTGTAGTTCCCGATAAGCATTTTTGCAATAAACGCGTAGCGTGAATGTCACATCACCGCTTGACATTTACCGCAGCTCCTAAGCTGCGGTATCTACGTGCCTACATAATCTTCACAAAATACGCCCAAGCAAGTGTCTATTATTTATAAAATAATATAACCTTAACAAAAATAATTGAATATCAATTCAATACATATTTAAATACAGTTAATAGCCACATCTCCAGGCGGGGCTGGTAGCTGCAAAGTTACCTAACTGGGTAACGAAACAATTTCATAGATTTCTCGTAGATGGCGCTACGACTGAAAAGTCGTTTGAAAACCAAATACAAAGATCCAACAACAAGTACTTAGAAGAATTCGTGAGGTCTGCCGATTCGTTTCATGGCTTAGTTGGCATAGCGTCTGACACGGTTTGCTAGAAGATATCGGTTCGAATCCGGCCGGATCGAAGGAATTTTTTCTACGTGTTCGATTTTTGTGTTAATAAAATTATAACAAACTAGGGGAGGTAATTACTTAATACAAATTTAAATATTATAACTTTTTTTAATTTCGATGTTTCGCAGGGCCTGTTCCGAATCCGAAATGACACAGGGAGCATTTTATCTCTAGGTGTACAAGCGACATTCGATTTTCTCGGATTGGAATTAGATAATATTTCCATTTTAAATGGAAACTTTACTGCGGCACCCGTTTTCTGACAAAAATGTTGGAGTAAACGTAAAACATAAATACAAAAAATACAGTCGAATTGTGATGAAATGATACGATTGTGATGAAAACGTGCTCCTTTTATTGAAAGCGGTCAAAAGGTGACATCCATTTTTAAGCACCTCAGTACACATCTAATAACAAAGACAAAGGTTTAATAGATTTGATTTGAATTTATTAGAGACGCGATAAACACGCCCTCTGGTGACGTTTTACATTTGGGTAGTCGTTTTGTTTGTTTCTTTCATTCCTTAATTTATATAATTGTATTTAAGCTTTGTCGTCAGTAGATTAGTCTGCAGATCACGCTTACAACATTCGATGTTATAGTTCCGTTAACGCTTATTGAATCAGAACTGTTGCATCTGAATTGTACTACCCCTTTACAGATCTAACATCGAGGACGAAGACAAACTCCAGTTTGAGCTTGTAATGGGCCAAACTGAACAGACCAACAAACAGCACACTTTTGTGTTGGAGCCCGATGCAAACACCGCCTACTTGAAACTTGGCCATCGCTTGGATTATGAAAGAATAACAGATTACACCCTCACTGTGCGGGTTCTGGTAAGTAATATCTAATTTTTAAAACTAGTTTTTGCTTCCCAATGTACTGGAGGTATTACACATCTTAATTTTATTCACTTTCTGTAAAAATTGCTCAAGATGACGGTAAATTTTAGTTTGACAACCCTTCCAGTAGGTGTTATACTTTAGCGTCGCAGCTGGGGTTATTCACATTAATGGAGGTTACGAGGTTTACGAATTTAACCGACAATATCATAGTATCCGACGAAGGTATGACCGGACGAAGAAGTCGTGCGCTTGATGGTTAGCTACACCCCTGTCCATAACAGTTGCAGTGCCACTTAGAGCATTAATTCGCAAAGATCTGAGGGGTACTGCCACTGCGCCTGTCACCCTGCTACATAAGTTGACAAGTTACAAGTGCCTGTAATTTCGCAAGCGCCCTTACCCCGGAACACAGTAATGCTGACATTACTCATTGGTGGAAGAAGTAGGTGCGGTAGCAACACTTCCCTGGACGAACTCTTTCACAAAGAGCTCGACTGCTACTAAATGTCAGTACGTTGTTGATATCTCTCTATTGAAAAACACAAAAGCAGTAGACGGCAACTACACAGAAAGTACTTGGAAATCGCTCTATGAAGCCCCGTAGTCTTTGAGATTCATATTTAGCGATACGGAATACCCCGTACTATCATATTCTAATATTTAATGAGATAACATTATCCCATTAAATATTAGAATATGAGTACGGGTTATTATTTGCTCCTCAAAGAAATAATTGATCTATTGTAAATGTGCACTTATTTAAATAAACGGTGTTTTTTATGTTTTGACATATATTAATTGTTCCATCTATATTAGTTGATCTACGGATAAATTACTTCACTTGAACTGCATTCAAGGTAACACTATTATTATGTTTGAGCATACTAAATTAATATTTGGTATTCAAAAATGATGTTTGATCCACTTTTTTATCATTGGTCTTTTTTTTAACGATTAATGACATTTATAACCTGTATACCTTTTGTATAGATCTTCTAACAAATCTTGATTGCTTAGTTCCAGTTTTCGCTCAGTAGGTTAGGTTAGGTTAGTGTATGAAAAAGCAGCACAAGCTGAACGAGCGAAGCGAGCATGTCGCGGCAGCGGCCTGCGAGTGCCAAAAGCTGTTGAAAAATTGGCTTGCGTTTTGTCAGATTATATTATAATGAATATAATGTTACTACAAATATAATCAACATTTACTTAGTTCTAAAAATAAGTATCTAAATTTTATCTTTAATGCTCATTTGTCTTAGTTTTGAGGCCCAACATAAAACTATCAAAGTTAATTCATACAAGCCAAACATTTTTTGCGTAGCTCAGAACAGACTCAAATATTGATCGATTTAATTTATATTGTCTCAGAGAATGAGGATCAATCATTAAAAAAGATGACCGTTTAAATTTTTTTGCCTGCTGCATTTGAAAATTTCAAAAAATCATTTAAAAACATGCTATATTTAATTACATGATAAATTCTGTTACTGTCCATTAACATGGGTTTTAAGTGATGAAATGGATTAATATAATTGCAATTCTTTCTTAAGTGTGTCAATTGAATTCACAGAATAACTACCGCTTGGCTGCCGAAACCATAATTTACATAAAAATTGAAGATGTCAACGATAACATCCCCATCTTCAGCGAGATAAGATCAGGCACTGTGCTAGAGAATGAACCAATCGGCACGCCAGTAATGCAAGTCCGCGCAATTGACGCCGACGCCACTTCCGCAAATAACCAAGTAACATACGCACTCGAGGATCCTACAAATTCCTTCGACATAGACCCTCTGACCGGCAACATTACTACGCGGGTAATGCTTGACAGGGAAAATCGCAGTTACTACAGCGTCAAAGTCTTCGCCACAGACAACTCGGAATCTGCGCTTATCCCTAAGAGGAACAATACGGGTCAACACGTATTTTTAATCGAAATAGCGGACAAAAATGATAACCCGCCCCAATTTACCCAAGACACCTATGTGACTACAGAGGTCGCAGAGAGTGCCAACATCAACGAATTAGTCACACAGGTCGCTGCGATTGACAATGACACAGGTAATTCCCATTAATTGTTTTTCGTTGACAACGTCCACGACTTATCGTACCGCAATCCAATGCTTCCTGTTAAGTCGCGGCAATTGAGAGAGTAGCTTGTTCTTAAACTTATTAGCGAGACGTATGGGCGCGTTCTCTTTATGTCGTAACGTTTTATTTATCGTTGAACAACAGTCGCGTCTAACCTGTTCCCATATCACTACTATCTGTCGTGACTGTGTTTTGGACGATTATTTTATCGTTGAACGACTGTCGTGTCCAGCTGTTCCCACTAGATCGTGACGACAATTTATCGTTTCACGGCATACACCTTGTCGTTTGCACGGCAGAGTCGTTTGATGCACTGCAGATGCTTCTATGTTCTTTTAGAAGGCAGTAGTGTGTTTTCGCTCCCGTGTGAAATAGATGAAGATGAAATTATAATAATGTTTTACTTTTTAAAAGGCGGAAGAGGAAGCAAACGCGGAGAAGAAAGTTTTGAGTACATCCAATGTTATTAAAAATAATTCCATTAGGATTACGTTAAACGTTTATAGATGAACGGAAATGTGACGAGAGAAAATTTTCGGACTATTTAAGAATTTAGTATTTTCTAATATTGTGTATAATTAAATTTGAACAAACCTGAATTCACAACAAATATTTACTCGTAAATAGCATAAAACAAATTTGTATTTTAATAATGGGAAAATAGAGATGAATATGCTATAGGCGAAAAACATGACTCGTGAAACAATCATCACTCGCTATCGTCGGCTCACTGGGAACGACACTCGTTCGGCTCGCGAACCACGTATACTCTATGTTTTGGTAGTAGTGCACCCTCATATTAGACGCCTGTAGTTGTTACAATGGCGCGGCAGCCGCGCGGCCGGCGCGATGAAACTCGCTTGTCTGATTACTTAGCTCTGTTTGCGGCGGTAAAGTGACGTGATTGTACGCGCCATGTAGATAATATGACGTGACCTTTTTTATAGTAGTTCTTTTATTAAATACGAGTTATTATGGGCAAAAGAAGATAAGAAACCCGGACTACAAAAAAGAAAACAAATAGGCGATTTCACCGATATTACGATAATCAAAGACAAAATCCAGATAAGTTCTTTAATTACGCTAGAATGATTGTATTTGACGTTTGATTATATTTTTGAACATATCAAGCCAGAATTAGATTAGCTGCCATCGAGAACAGCACAACGCAAACCGAGGCATTTTGATCAAGTCGCGCGAGCCGCCCGCATTTTTGTGTTCACACATTTTGTATATCAAAAAAGCCATAGTGAATAACAGGGCTTACCGAAATGACGTTGACAACCACGACACTATGTAAATTACCAGTGACATTTAAGGGACTCTTTAAAAAAAAAAAATAACTCATTTCATTTAAATTTTAATGTCAACAATTTATAGGTCCAAACATTCACCGTATTGAGGTTCTAGGTTTCTAAACAACTACAAAAATCACAATCAGCTCTACTGGAGCTAATTTTTGATATTGTTAATTTATTTACATTAATTATGCAGGATATTATGCATGATTTTGTACAAGTTCACATAAAGAAATAATAAAACTGTACATATATCATATCTATACAAATATTATAATTGTGAAAATACTGTGTTTGTTACCGTTCACGATAAAACAGTTCAACAGATTTTTTTGAAATTTAGAAATGGGACAATAGTGTGTCGTGAGGCGGTAAATTCTTAAGGTAGAATTTCGATGTTGACCACGGCGACCGCATTCCTAGTCGCCTGTCGCGTGGTGACCAGTAGCTTATGGATCCAAGCGACCGCGGCCGACCGCCAGTCTTCTTCCCGCAGTTTTTAATACGATCGGTTGTATTTTGGTGCTCAGTACAATTCTGTCTAACTATTAATCCACAACTATGTTATCTGTATGTCTCTCGAATCATATAGGGTGGGGTTTTAGACACTAAGTCTAACAGTTCGTCGTCAATAAAAGGGACGATGCCGCGAAGCGCGGCGGCACTGCTGCAGGAGCAGTGAGTTGCTAGCCTCGCCCACAAGTCGCGTGACCCCGTCTCTTGTGTTGGTCAGCGGTCGATACAAATTCATACTAAACAGTGGTTCGCGGTCGCCGGCCGCAGTCGCCGGTCGCGGTCGCCGAACGCAGTCGCCGGACGCGGTCGCCTACATCGGAATGCTACCTTTAGAATGTCGTGAAGCGACAATGTAATGAACATAACCGAAAATTGATGATTCAAATTTTTACATAAACGCAAATTTTCATAATCCAGAAAACCGATTTATAACGAATCGAAACCGTTATGCTCTCAGGGAATTTCGCAAAGAAAAGATTAAGTTAGCGTAGGTTCGTTTTGTAATATTCCTTAAAAATACCTAAAAAAAATAACTTTCGGGATTATGCAAATCTTCTGTTTAAAAGATCAGACACTTTTAAGCGCGCACCCGACACCCATTTGTTGGTAGGCAATGAGATAGGTACCTCGTATCTGCCTTCAATCACTAAATTTAAAAACAATGTTTTAGATCAAAATAAGTTATGAAAATAATGACTCAAATTTTTAAGGTTATTGAATGTTACATTGTTTAACCGCCATGTAATTAAATTATTTTTGAGAAATTACTCCACTAGTTTGTTGCAATTATTAATACAAAGATCGAACATTAAGAAAAAAAGTCCTTCGATCCGCAAACCTCGCTAGACGCTATGCTAACCTAAGCCACGCAACGAACTAGCGGACTTACGATTGCTAAAGTAGACAGAAGTATAAATGAAATACAGAAATCTTTTCTAAATACAAGTGTACTTTTTGTACAGGGAAAATAAAATGATCTTTTAAAGTGATAATTCATTTCTGTAATTCATTTGTGACTTCATGAGTGAACTGTCTCGCGCGCGAGGGCGATCGATCGTGACGTGTTTGTATCGTTAACCGATTAACCGTTATATAAAAAATGATTCAAACGTAAACACGTAATGTAGGTGGCATTGTCTGCCTGCTAAAGGAATCCCGGGGAAATTCTCATCTTTATGGCGCGAGACTTGCAAAAATTACTCCCGTTCATTTCGATTATGTAGATGTCACCCGTCTTCTTGTAGGATATTTTGAGGACGAGGAGTGATATAGACCTAATTAGACGGCCCTTGAGGCACTTAAGAATGCCTCAATCGTCTTTTCCCTTATTGGTTTTGTCAACTATGAGAAGAATACGTGTGTTTTGTCGAGTTTTGAGTCCCAGAGTGGACTCATGGGAGTTACGACGGGCTGTGTATTTAATAAGTCGCCAGTAAAATCAATAAAATCAGGGTAATAAAACAAAGAGAAGTACTTATATAATGCTCAGCTGAGCGCTCGTAGCCTGTCAGTCTGCTTCGCGTCTCGCCGCCGTCTACGTGAGTCACGTTGTCCCTGCCTGTACGGCGACGGAGACCACTGTAACGGAGGCCACTGTATCAATTATAAATGTGAAGCACACTACTCGCCAGGCATGCGGGCACTTAAGGCGAGGTATTTTAGAAGGTGAGGTGCGGGTTGTCGTCGCTCACGCCTGGCATGTCTGGTAAATTAATATGAAGAAAATAAAAACAGGCGGAGAAAATTTGACACATGTCCAAAAGTCCAAAATCGACATAACGGGGCAGCGGGTGGCGCCGCGTGTCATTAAATCGCTGGGAAAATTGCAAATTTTGGGATAAATGTTAATTTAAGTAATAGGGCTTTAATTAAAAACCAAAATTTAGCTGGTTCCTTGTGGTACTTAAAGATAAATATCTCCCTATGAAAGTTGTGTATAAAGTTAAATATTTTATTCTTAAATAATTCATTTTAGACTCTTATTTTAGTCTGTTTTCAGGATTTTATATGATCGGATAAAGTACATCCTATAGTGTAATTCATTAGCACATTCTTTAGGTGGTCTTCAGTATCCTTAGCTGCATCGTATATTTTTTATAAGACCGTTATTTAATAGCGAATACTTGAACCATTTGATCTAGCAAAACAGTTTTTCCCGTTTCCCCACGAGTGACTCGTCTTATACTCACGCGTTGGGAACAGTTACTTGGATGTTGCGTAAAATGGAAGTTATAAAACCTCAAGTACAAAACGAGGAATGGACGCTTGTACAGAAAAAGAGATTGAAAAATCACTTATTAGGAAGGCCTGGGAAAGCAATGGTTGATGCTGATACTCCTAAGAAAAATTTTGGCAATTTTTTTAAAAAACGAATAACTTAACGCCTAAGTCGAGTCCACCTGTGACTGCGAGCAGCGTGCACGAGTCACGAAGCACAGCCGCCGCGTGTCAGAGCCATTTCAGGGTGGAGTCGCCGCGGACAGATGTCATTAGTGTACTGATGAGATGATGTACAGATGAGATTATAGCAGCTGTTATAGGAAGGATGGTTACAGCCAAGTCCCGGGGTTATGATGTCCTCAGTATGGTCCGCACCTATCAAGGGTCTTTGCAGAGTTTTTCAACTTGTATACGAGTGATGAGTACATATATACCTCAACTTCAAAGTTGTCAGAAAATTGAAGAAATTGTCTGTACGTCGTTGGAGAAATCATGTCAAGTGTAAACGAGACTTAATAAAATGTTCTGCTACTTTCAAAAATAAATGCAAATTTTGCATTATTAATTTTTATATTTCAAAAAATCGTATCTTTTTTGCCCCATTTTTATCTGATTCATTTGTCGTTGTCATTTTAATGTGTAGCCAACTGTACTTACGTAATAAACAAACTTTCGCGAATGCACGGGTTGCTGTTTTGGTTTTTAATTGCAACTACGAATTAACATGTCCGTTTACGTTCTTTACTTTAAAATGAAACACCCAAACAGATATTGCATATTTGCAACACTGTCGTATAAGATTTACAAAATACTAATTAACCGTTTGAATTGATGTGTTATTATAATAATTTTGTTACATTATTCTAAGAAAGTTTACATCTGACATTAAAACAAATCGGTCTTTAAAAAACGTTGAAAAATAAATATTTAAATAAGGTTTAAATTTACGTGAAGGCTATTCGACTATAACAAGATTTTTTTCGAGTTATCGGCCGCCATTTCTTTAATGTTTTACAGCGGACTTTTGGTAATGTGTGCGTGTGTTTTGATGTGAGCGTGTACGTTTCATGAGTGAAATAGAAGCCGAGGGTCCCGCCGGCTTGACGCGCACAGTGATTGACTGAGATCCGTCGGAAAGCTACAGTACTGTGTATTATTGGTATTATAAAGGACAAAGAACGGAGTCACGGTCTCCAGCGGTCCTTGAATTACGAAAGTTTTCGAAATTCGATGTTTTTGACATTGCATGTCTAGTAGTTCTATTTCAATGTTGTTGACATTGCATGCCTTATAGTTTAGATCTATATTAGTTGAACTTGTTGACAATTAACACTTCGCAATACTTTTAATGTAATTAGATTCCATTTGGTTGCAAGTGACAGAATACTATGAGTGTCTGTTTGTCTGTCTAAGCTTTAGAGCGTCACGCTGTTTCATCTGCCGTACAACAGGAACAGATCTGCTTTATTCAGATTTATTCATTCATTTATTGCATTGTCACTTGTAATAATATTATTTTAGGTACAGTGGCTTGTAAATGTATATGTGACACCCTGTATGAGCACAGCAAGCACATATTCATTATAAAAGTATTTAAATAAATGCGATCGTATTGAATAAATCATTAGAATTAAACAAAAATAAGATGAATTAAGTAGGATATCGAAGTATATTTTATATTTATTTGTATTTATAAAAAAAAATACATTTTGTCATTGAAAAATTCTTTAATATGACATGACTAAAGAAATATAAAAAAAAACTAAAACTTTTAATTTAAATTGTATAACATCATTATAGTACTGCTTAATTTTGCTTGCAAAATCTTAAAAAATTCACCATATTCAATTTCTACTAGAAACTCAACAAAATGCATCATATTTAACAATGGAGTAGCCATTACTATCAATATTAATTAATTATAATTTTATGTTGACTTCTATATAAATTCACTTAAAAAATAATAGAGAGTTGTACAAATATACACATACTAATATTATAAATGTGAAAATGACTGTGTCTCTCTGTTTGTTGGTTACGACGTGCCATAAGAAATGTATCGGTGTTTCGAATTTCTAGATTCTAACTAAACCTGAACTCAAAATTTTTATATTATAACAAAACCGTTATGCCTTCAGGGAAAAAAGATTAAGTTGGCGGCGTATGTTTGTTCTGTAACATTCCTGAAAGTACCTAAAAAATATACATTAATTAAGTAATTCAGGCAAACGCATTTTCGGAGTTCTGCTGCGTAACCCCAAGCCGTAAAACGAGTATAACAAAATTTTATTACTTATTACTAACATTTAATAAAAAATCATTTTGAAAATAAGATTATAGGAGCGATATTAGAAGCTAAATGTGAAACATTTAGAACAAAGACATTATAGTTTCAAACAAACACGATTCCTAAACATTTTCACGATAGAAAAAAAAACAAACTTACCTCAACATTTTACAAGAAAACCCGCTGCATTCAATAGGTACTTTATAATAATTTTTTAAAGATATCAATTTAAATAAATTAAACACGTGTAGTATACGAAATACATTTTTCAAATAACTTTAATATCGTTTTTAAAAAAATAAATTCTGAAATAAAGCCGTGAGCAGCCGTTCGACCTTCGCCATGGAACCGATTCAGTACACTTGGAATTCGGCCCATCAGAGAAACCCCAAGAATAGCGTGGTTTGTCAGCGTACTTCAAAATAATAGACGGAAAAGAACTCATAATTACCTACCAGGACAATAAAAAGTTTTCTGTAGGTACATTGTGCAACATCACGAGACAGAGAAGTAATGAAATCTTTATATTAAAATATTTTTTTCAAGGCTATCCTCTTAAAATAACATAGTACATTTATTAGATGTTTACAATATGCTACACTTATGCTTTTTGGAGTACAAATTGCGTAGTCTTTTTGTTGTAGTTTTTTCTTTCTAATGGCAAAATGTTTGGCACAGTAGATTTTTTTTATCCATGGAAATAAGGATGTTTCATTTTAAAGCAAAAAATTATGTAAAATTTTTGTATACTTTGCTTACGCCCCGTAGGTGATGTAAAAGATATGTATGCCAAATATCAAGAAGATTGAATAATATTTTGAGGTTGCATACTTTGATCAGTTATGCAAAAGTAGGAAAAAAATACGATATTTTAATGTTAATTAGTTTTATTCACCAAAGTAAAAAAATCATAAACACCAAATTTTTTTTAAATTAGACACTAAGATTATTGGTAGTATGAATATGATAAGCAAAATAATGTGTTATATTAATCAACTTTGAATTAGGCTCTCACTTCTTTTGTTCGCTTGATGATGACTTCAAGATGAATTCAAAGAAAGTCTTTGTTTTCTTGTTGGCGCAGGTTTTTCCTTCAAAAGCGTAGGTATTACCCCCCTTCTTTGTACGTTTGATTTTTTTAAACTTTTAACAATATTTTCGTAATACGCTTTAATACCCTGCGTAATACGCTCGTCTAAAATACAATCAAACCTAAATTTGTTTCTGACACAAGAAAGTGTCTCTTAGCAATTATGATAGCACATTTTTGAAGTGCCCAGAAGCTGTAGCATATTCAAGACATTATTTGGGTCCCATCGACTTACAATCGCCTCGTGACATAGATGAAAATATACACATGAGGCCGATGTACTACCCGTTTCAATCCTTTCAATTCTCGTTGAATAATATACAACTGTTTGGAGAGGAGAACATTTTTAAGTGCATGTTGTATTGCCATTGCCATCCATTTTGTTTAAAGCCCCCCTGACCCCTTAGATTTCTGAAATTGAAATCGTTTCTACACCAAGCGCCAAGCTCTTCTCTTAGATGACTTCCGTCTTTTAGGACATTTTGAATTAACGACCTCCGTGGTCGAGTGACTTTCGCACCAGTTTTCATGGTGTCGCCATTTCTGTGGTCCCGGTATCGATCCCCGGCCGAGTCAATGTAGAAAAACCAACTTTGTATTGTCTCGGGTGTGATTGTGATACTGTCGTTGTTTCCGATTTCCTTAACATAAGTGCTTTAGTACCTGTAGTTCCTCACTTTTGGATCAGAGCAACGTATGTGATGTTGGCTAATATCATATAAATGTGTTCGTTTGAAGTGAGTCAAAATTCCAAAAGCTTACCACTAACCTTTTCTAGCAGCCAAATTGATATTATGGTTCCTATTTTATAATACAATTAACTACAAAAGATTAAAGAAATACATGAGAAGCCCATTAGTGCAAAGCACTTAAATATCGAAATTTCTAAATATTATAAGAACAGAAATATTATCCAACCTTCTTGAAATCAGCATATTATAATCTTAATCAACACTGAGACTCGGGGTGTGAGCAAAGTCATATGAAAATCACAGCTTTGGAAAAATGAAACACCCTCGGAGGCGACAACTTTGCGTTATTTTCGAAGATGGCATCCAACATACCACGAACGACCATGGCCAAAAACAAAACTGGTTTTTAGCACACTAATCTAGGTGTTGAATTTCCAAAGGTTGTGATAAGGTTTTTTACATTATTTCTTCGTAGAAATGTCCGTATAAAGAATGACCGGTTTGAAAAAAAATATATGAAATTTTGTCACATGTCAATGGCGATTTATTAAAGTTAAACTACGTTAATCTACAATGCTATAGACTCCGTCATATTCCAAATACAACACGAATAGATGACGAATACTACAATACTTTTTTCAGCTTCGGTGGTGACTTATTCAATTATATCCGGCAACACCTATGACGCGTTTTCCATTACTAATTACACTGGCGAGATTCGTGTGAAGAACCCACTTGACTACGAAAACATCACCAGTTATACTCTGGACGTTCGTGCCACTGATGGCATCTTTGATGATTACGCTAAGATTATCATCTCCGTTTTGAACATCAACGACAACCCACCTGTCTTCGTGGCTAACTACAGCAAGACCATTCAAGAGGAGACTGAGTACAACGGCTGCGTCGTCAAGGTTCGTGTACAATTTTCAATTTTTATTCGTCATTACATGATTTTTAGGTATTGAGACTTTAATGGTTGGCTAGGTCGCGTTTCGCGTGTACACAGTGTTATTTTTAAAATACTAACAACCTGGTAGGACTATATTACTAACATCATAAACAACAACTTTAGTTCTATTGCTTTTTATAAAACATGATAAATTTACCAAACATAAATTTCAACTTTTTGTACTATCTGACACTTTTTAGATCTATAATTGGTAGAATAAGTTCAAACGTGCAAGCTTCCTCCACGACGATTACCACCCCCCCTCCTGCACAGTGTTATTAGCGTTTAGAGTCGTTTATCATTATTATTATTATTATTAAAAGTTATAGAACAAAAGTTCTTGTCTATGATGTTAGAAATATAGTCCTGAGAGGTTAATATTTTATAAAAATAGTACAGTAAAAAAACCGTCCTCAAAAATCATTCATCCCCTAGTTTGCCACCCTTAGAGGTGGAACATTTTCTTCAAATTTAAATGGGACCACATCTGAGGTACCCTCTTTCCAACAAGAAAAGAATCATGAAAATCGTTCAAATCAAATGCCGTTATCACGTAACATACATACAAAAAAAATACAGTTGTGTTGAGAACCTCCTCATTTTTTTCAAGTCTGTTAAAAAATAACCCTGTAGGTACATCACTCTCAAAGTTAAAGCGTATTATTTCGAAAAATAATTCATGAGATCCGTGCAAAATGGATTTCAAAAAATAACGTCATTTTATCATTGAAGGTGTGGTACTTACACCAAGTCCACAACATCATAATACAGCTTCTTTTATTTATCCACAAATAATATAATTTGTTCATGCTTTACATATACTTACATACATTCCTATTATAGGTTGAAGCTTATGATCCTGACCTCACAAACCGTACCGCCGATCAAGGAATCGTGTACTCGCTGATAAAACAGGAGCAGAAAGAGTTCTTGAAAATCAATAGAAGCGGTTGTTTGGAGTTGACTAAACCTCTCGATCGTGACCCGCCCCTAGGGTTTGCACATTGGCAGATTTTCATCATGGCTGTAGACCAGGCAGGCGATCGTGGTTCCGAGAGCCTGCGATCCACGACCGAAGTTCTCCTGGAGCTCACTGACATCAACGACAACGCCCCGTACTTGGTCAACGTGAGTACACTACACACTCCTCTCCTTTTTAAATTAAAGCTCTTTTATTGAACTACTACGGAAAATTTTACTAATGACCTTCTTGCGTACACTATTACATTACTGAGAATTAATTCAGTATTTTACAAAAAACACGTCACTAGGCACCTAAGAGAACAATCTGTTCAAGAACACATCTTCAAAGAAAACATCTCTGAACACACCTGGGGTTTTCGTTTAACTTATTTTTATTCCCAATAACACAAGCCCTCGGGTGCTTTCAACATCGCCACCAACCTTGGCAGATAAATCTTACATATTTTTTAACTGTCGTTAGCTCACCCTTTTGCCTCATTCGTTAGAAACAAGAAAATTACTACACTCATTGGAGTGTTTTATAGCTCATTCCAAAAGAATTGCTATCAATAAATTTCTATGGGGCTATCTGGCGGAATCACTTTGCGGGAACCAGTGTTAGCACCAGTTACTCAGATACTGCCGTTATTGTGCGAGTTGTACGATTCACTTTCTTGAAATACAATAGAAAGATAATTAGTTAAGCGCATTCTTAGGATTTTAACGACCGAATGGACTCTGTTAAGTTTTATAAATATGCGCGCCACATTTAAAATCCGTTTGAACCTGATCAATATTTTGTACTTTCGAACTAATTACTGTGAAAATTGTGTAAACGAATTAATTGCAATCAATTGACGTTATTATTTTACTGAAAGTATTGATAATGAGGAGTGAATAGGCAAATTATCAGTCCACGAACGTTTCTTATTTAGTTCCTGACGAAATCAGGATAAGTATGTTTTCTTCAACGTTTCTCGTGCGGTTATATTTTATACGAGTCTCGGCCGGCGGCGCGTGGTCTGGTTTAATTTAAGGGGTGTGATTATGCTGTGGGATTACTCGGAGCTCGACCAGCCGACAATAACGAAAGGTATGTTCAATAAATAGAAGAAATGTCGAATTAAACCATAGAAATGTCATATTATTTAGCGTCTGTATAAATTTTAAATAATTTTTAGAACTGTCATTATTAATATGATTAATGTAGTTATTATACAAATTATCATAATTATTAGCAAATAATTGGTTAACAGTTGACAGAAGAGGACAGAGAAATGAAATTTAATCTTGCGCTGCGACGGACCCGCAAACTTACCTCCTAATTTAGATACTTTTACGAAGTTTAATTGCTGTATATGTCGTGTACACGAACAATCTGTTTTTAACGAAATACCTATTTGTAATGTTTGTTCTATATTTTTGAAGCAATTACTATTAAAAAAGTTTTGTAATTTTAAATGAAAATATAACGTTATATATATCGTACATATGTACAATGTACCTAATGATGAAAAAAAAGTAAATAAAAATATCGGGACAGTGGAAGTTTGTGAAATTTAATTAAATTTTTTTCATACAAAATGAATAAAATTGTCTAATTTTTTAAAGCTGATAGACTCGGTTTCTTATAAGATTGATTTTATTGTATTGGAAGAAAAGAATCAGGGCAGCAGAAGTTGGTTCCACAAGAAAAGACGTAATGGTTCAAATAGATTCCTTGTATCTTCTATGGTTTTGGATATCTCCATACTGTGCCATTTGAAAAAAAAAAACACTTTCTACACACGTTATATCTCTACGTTAAGCAGAACTTTTTTGTATAGAGCCAGAAAACTATTCGTACGCAATACGAACAATATTGAACCTGTCGTAGATTTTCATATTAAGTAAACCATAAATCAGATGGGTATTACAGTTATGAAGTTTCACATCGTGTTATGTAAATTCAAAGATATATGTCTTGCCATGTGTTTGTCTTCAGTCAAGGAAAAGCTTTTTGATAAGGGTACAGAAATCGAAGACTTCCGATTATTTTTATTTTGAGTAACGATTGCGCAATAATTTTTTGTATCTTGTCACATTCCCTATCGGATCACACATGTAATAATATTTTCCTCACAATTATGTAGTAAATTTTAGATATGCCTATGTTTCCACAGAATTATTTTCTCGCTCAATGATGACGTTGCCTTAAGAGTCTACTCAACCTCAAATGGCTTTGGTTGATTCCGCGCAACAGTGAAAGTGAAATCAATCACATTGGAAAAAATATATAGTAAAATTTAAGATATACGTACACTGACTACTTACTAAACGGTGTGAAAACACAATTCCTAAAATATTTCACGATAGAAAAAAAACACAAACATACTTCGAAATTTTACAAGAAAACCGCTGTTTTCAATAGGTACTTTAAATATATCAACTTTTTATATCAATTGAACTAAATATAACACGTATAGTATACGATATACATTTTTCAAATGGCTTTGATTTCGTTTGTAAAGAAATAAATTTTAAAATAAAACCAGTGACCCTGGCGCTCGACCTAAGCAAAATTAACCGTATTAGTACGGGAAAAATTTGAATTCTAGCTGAGTATCGACTCATAAGGCAATATGGCGTTGGGTTTCGCAGTTGTCAATTGTTCATGCAAATCACCATCCTTTGAGTGCTCACCACATTTATCGACACGCATTCGGCTTTTACAATAATAGCGAAGAAAACGATCTGCGTTTCGTTTCGGCAATCCGTGGTAAAACGAAACGAATAGCTTTTATTGCACGGACATGCGATTCCGGATCGATAATGTTTTAGGCCTTCTTCTTCTAAGCGTATCCATGACATATACTATTCTGTAGTGGCCCAGAACCCAATCACGCCGACCGCGTCACTAGTAATACTGTCTTTTAGACCTCGATGGTTAGCTTAATTTTCATAGCTACTTTCTAAAAACATTTCAGACAATCTAAATATTTATTCGCTACAGATATAAAGACTGTTTTTGTGAACGAGAAACCTTATTTGATTTCTACTGAAATGTTAAAATTGGTTCGGAATTTAAGAGTGTTATTTGTTTTAAACACACATGTATTTGGCTCCGTTGGCTTGGCATGTTGCACAGGCTCTCGCATTCGCATTTATCTTAGGTATAATTATCCGCAAATGAAGACTACCAGTCCTTCCGCAGAATTCCAGATTAAACAAATTTATATCAATAAAACGCAGAGAACGGCCTTCACCTCATTATAACAAAGTTATTGCATTTTTTTATACTCCCGCTTCATTAACTTTCAAACTGAAAGAGCAAATTAATATTATTAACTTCTTTATGAAGATTAAACTTAGCTTTTAATATATTTTCTTTTCCGCCTCAAAATCCGTCGAAAGGTAATGAGATTAAAAGACAATGCAAATAAATTGAATTTTTTACCGTGAAAACATTTCAATGACCTATAATATAAAAGTCGGACAATTCTGCTGCCCTTATCATAAACAACGTAATGGACATTTTTAAATTGAGTTATTAACATCTGGAATCAGCGAAACAAGATCTACAACCCCCCGTAATCAGTTTTTTTATATCTTATTTAGTTTCAGTTTTTTTGTTAAACAATATCAGTGTAATTGACAAGAGGCACTATACTTCGTCAAACTATTTATTTTACTTTTGACATAGCATTCCTTCGAAGGTCCTTATTTATCTTAGAGGATGGAAAAAAGTAAGGTAATTATTGACATACAACCATAGATAAAAAATGCGATACTTCCTTACTCTTATTTTTAATTTTTAATGAGGCGACATACTCTTTAGCTCCGATATTTATGGAGCCAACAGATTATGTAACGAAGATTATTCATGTTGATAAATTTTGTTATCTGTCTAATAAATTGCAATGAAATGAAATAAATTATAAACAAACGTCGGATTCTTTTCCACAAGAACGGGAATCATGACTTGAATCCTCATTAACATTAATTATTAATTCTTAAGTACACAAATTATCAAACGCAACATCATGATCCCAATCACACAACATCTTCTGTTTTGAACTCGCTCACAGTCACGATTAAAACTTCTTCATAAATAAAATTGATTGTTATAAAAAAATCGAATCGGAAACGCATTAGGACATCACTAATTGATTAGAATTCGAGCTATCAAAAGTTAAATAAATGGTTGGACGGAGTATAGCTGCAGTGGTCATAATGGAAACCCCGAATCGTCTCAGGTCAGCTCACAAGTTGGTCGATGTAGAGACAACGTGGTGAAATGGGGACATACTCGTATTAACCCGACTCGAAATTATTGCGCCCCACTCAAACTGTCCCAATTGCTCTCATGCCCACTGTGTCCGAACAGCTGCACCCGCGAAGACCTGCTAAAGGCAATAGATAGGGGCATAGAGGTGGCTGCTTATTGGGCTAAAGTAATATAACATTGGTTGTTGGTTTTTATTATTGATTCGACAAGAAGACGAAGTGAGTGAACATTAAGTGCCAATATTTCGAAAGTTACCAAAATGCAAATGCGTTGTTTATGGCGAGGAGGGCAGAATAGGCGACGATTGTCATTGTATCCTACAATAGCCACATTGCCCTTGGAAAACAATTGAGAGAAATAACTCAATGTTCGAATTTGCTCGGTTTACTCAGCGAACTTTGGTCCTAAACAAAGAGAACACAAAGGTAGTAGCTGCGAGAAGTTTGTTCGTTGATTCCCAAAATTCCCTGTCACTTCTAGCAATTCTATTAGCTTGTGGGCTGGAATATCAGATTAAAACCACAAGTTACCCTCGTTAGCTCGGTCGAAGTAAAGAGACTGAATAAAGATTTTTCCCTTTGTAAGCGACGATCATCATATAAAGAAGTTTTTTTGACATGGAATAAACGTAACATTCCAGCTCGCTCGCTTTCGAGACCGTATACATATGTATATCTGAATTGTTCAATTCGTTCCGAAAACATTTTTAACGGGCTTTTGTGATAGTGATGGGGTAAGTATATTGCATTACAAAATTTGGGACATGTATGCATTTTACGAAATTCTTGTACAGAGTTTTTTCAAATTAAAATTAATTATTAAATTTTCATAAAATTAACATATTACTTTGTTTTTAATTTCACAGTCGCAACCAGTGATTTGGTACGAGAACGAACCTCCTGGCCCTATCGCTCTTTTGACGGCGAGGGATAACGATTCGCTGGAAAACGGCCCCCCGTTTACCTTTGCCATCAACGAGACACTGGGCCGCGGCTTGGACTACCGTACTAAATTTAGTATCACAGGTTAGTGAACCAAAGCGCAATTTTAAGTAAGCTGGCGCAGGGAGTACTCCAATGCTGCTAGCGAATAATTTAAGCATACATAGATAAAATTTAGCCCAGCGGAAAATATGCCATGCGAAAGTGATTTTTGATAAGGCACAAGTTTGTGGTCGAAGTTGTTCATATTTGGCAATACTTTCAGGAACTTGTCCGCATAGCAGTTACATTTGGTGTATCATTTTTTAGAGGTGTCAACAATTTCCCTTCCTGTGCCCAAATTGTTTTGTGTTTCGTCGGTGAAACTTTGATTGCGGATGCACTAAATGGGCGGCGACAAACTAACTTCAGAACTTACTACAGCGCAGTTCTCAATTATTCCGCTTAAGTTTTCCAACCTATTGGATCTAGTGAAAACTCTTCAATTCCAATCTATTAATGTAGTTAAAATGCAATAAAAAGCCTGCGCTTCAGACCGAGTTACCAAAGCTGTAAATTTCAGATATTCCGCCTTTGAAGAGTTTACTATAACTTCTCACTGGTTGGCACTAAACTAAAATCATACATAAAGTAACTAGCTTGTTTTGCAAAGGACTAGGTTTTATGGGACTTCAATCAATAGCGACAATGAATAAGGTGGTGTATGCGGCACATATGACATTGCATTTTGTCCGCAGGTGACGTACTTTCGTCTCTTGTGTCGTTTGACCGAGAGAACATTAAGGAATACAATATTCCGATCGCCATAACGGATTCTGGTTCGCCACGGTTAACCGGCGTTTCTTTCCTGCGCGTCATCATCGGTGACACGAATGACAATCCTATGCATGGCGCACACAGCAACATCTTTGTCTACAACTTCAGGGTATGTCTCCTTAATTTTTAATATCCTTTACGTTATAAGTCACAACATTGACGTTATAACATATAAACTCTCATGGAAAGATTACTTTAAGAATATCTTTTTTTACTGGATTTTATCCAGTCAGAGTGTTGAAGGCTTTCTAGAATTTGTCTATCTCAAAAATACCTGGCACATCAGGAAGATAATTTTAAACGAGTAGTATCTACCGCGAAACGTTTTCGAAGCTCGGTGTCATATTAACAATGAAATTAATGAAATAAAAAAAATATCGTTAAATTAGGAAATGAAACTATTTTTCCGGATTTAAATCGCGTATATGTGTTTTTCAAACAAACCAACGTTTCGGGCCCTTTACAGGGGGTCTACCATAACCTTTCCAAAAACAATCTTATTTCAATGTAAGCATAAAGTAACCTTATTATAATATAACCTTAGATGATGAGAATATAACTCATATTCGTACCATGACAAACATGTCAACCAAGTAATGTATTAGTTTTACACTAAAAAATGGAAACTAAAAGACATGTTATGTATATGATGCATTTCGACGTCGAAAACATAAACATGTTAGTGTCATTGTTTAACAAATGCGTGCCGTCTTAAGCCAAAAGAGATAGCATTATATTGGTCTGTGTTAAACACGGGAATCGAAAATACGTAACGTCATCTTAAATGCCAACTGTGTCCATTTCGCAGTACATGAGGTACATGATACGGTTGTCAAAGGGAAGTACATCAAATGTCAAAACAAATGTTTTTCCAAGTGTTTTACTGAATAATTTGCATGTATTGTAATAAAATGGACAAAAATATTGACAGTGAGAACAATTAAGTATTAATAAAAATTCGTCGCTGCAGCATTACGGGATTTTAAAAAGCGAAGATCGATCGAATGTAACATTGTACAGGCATGTGTTATTTTTCTGTGTATAAATCACACAGAAGCCCAAATATCTCATGTAATTAGACATATTTAAGTAGTTTATTCATAAATCTTGTCAAATTTTGCTTTGGTTTCTTCAGGTTGCCTGTTTGTTTGTACATTTTGATGATTGTTGTTAACGATTATTTTGAGAGTGTTGTTGTTGGAAGCGTACATATTATCGATATTCTGTTATTAAAATAATTCACTATGAGGTTTTTATTATTGTTATTTTTACTATTTCAAGTTTACCTACAAATAAAAAAAGAAAATAGAATGGTTGGAAATCATACAATGAATCAAAGACCATTTTTTATTCGCTTTATTTTGAAGAGTCAAATTTTAACATAACTTTGAATGTAACTGGATTGCATGATAATGCCGTTCCACCATTAGGTTTATTGGTAAATAATTTTATATTTAATTTAGATTAAACACGACTCATTTACTAGGCATTCTCAGTTCCTAAAAACAAAATTATCCACTCATTTCCGATTTGTTCCCACTGACAATTCTAACTACTAAAATTCTTGTTTTATAAAGCCAGCAATATAAGGGCCATGTTGGTCTGACGTTGCCAGGTGAAGGCAAATACCAACTTATAGACAGCCTATTTGCCTTGCTTTGCCATCGTTCGGTGTCACTCGCCTAGCTGACCGAGTAAATACGAGCGCTAACGTGTATAGAGCTCGTTTGACGTGGCTTGTGACAACTCACAGTCGCTCGTGGTTCTGCACAAATCAAAGGCGCTCGGCCAATAGCAGTCAATTGACATTATTTATTCAGACATTTGCATGCTATTTAATATATACGAAACATGTATATACTAACATGTCTCTTGCTACATCCCCTTTTATACCATGTTTAAGCAAATAAACGTATGATAATAATATTATTAATGATAATATTATTACTTTCATTTATTTCCAAAAATAAATGTAAGTATTAAAGATTGCCTTAAATCAGTCACTGATATTAATTCTATACCAATGCATAAATACAAAAAAGCTTACAGTATTTGGAATCTGTTTAAAAATTTCGCTATGAAAATAAGAACCTTGAGGTTGTAAATGTATAGGATTTATATTTTAAAGTTTTCTCTTTTTTATGTACTCTTAAATTACAAATATTATTTTTTCTGTGAAAATTCACTTTTCGTAATATTTGAGTATTTGTAAGCGTATAAATTCAAAATTTCATGTGACATTCCCAGATATTCTCATAATAACTTAAAATATTCCCAAATGGAATATTGATCTACTTTAATTAAATGTTTGTATGCCGATAATGACTTATCGATAGATTATGGTACGACACTAAAGAAATCTGCAAAAAAAAAAATTCAATTTTTGTTTAGGTATGCACGTTCATTCCGTAGTTAGGGCAGCTGCTTTCTTTTATTTTTTTTCCATCGTCTCAGGTATTAGTGCTAAAGTGATTGACAGAACGAATGAATTCCCAATATTGTCTATTCTTTACTAAAATAATATAATATATGTATAATAGGTAAGAAATAACGCTGTATGAACAATGCCATCTCTTTCTTTTTTGATGTTCTCAATCGTCTTATCGTAGTATAATGTCGAAGTACTTAATGTTATTTACGTTCAGAATTTCAACTGTAAAAAAATAAAAGTAATAATAAAACTATTACAATTACGTTGTTTTCAATTATTTTTCCGCATTTTCATGAAGGAAAATAAATAAAACAAGCTGAGTCTTGATAGTCACGTTGTGAATTCGGAATTACAGTCTAGCTAGTGTCAACTGTTAGTGTCGCCACGGAGCGTGTAGATGTCGCTGTCATAATTTTACGAAATAAACATCACGTATTTTCATTTATTTTTATCTATTAAATAAACAAAATATTTAAGAGATTTATATAAATAAATAAGTTCAACTTAACTTTTAATCATTACAAATCAATATTGTTTTCATTGCATCATGCATTTTAAGATTGCTAAATTTGACATAAGAGCAATATTACTTTAATGTTAAAGTCGCGCCATAGTACGAAGTGAGTGAATGAATAGGCACAAAGCTGTCAATAAAACATCATAGTTTTAACATTATAATAAGCTTACTTTAGACGCGCCAAGGAAATGACGCGCCTAAAGTAAGCTTAGCATTTAATCATAGGAAAAGTCAATGTAAGGTTAAAGTAATATTGTTTTAAGAGGTTGTGGTAGGCCCTATGGTCACGGTTGCCTGAGGTGGTGCAGTCATCAACCAGTTATGTCTAATATTACCATTACCACTTCAGTCAATCGTGACCATGGGACCCGTAAAGAGCCCGAAACGTTGGTTTGTTTGAAGAAACAAATGTACGCATATATAATATTAAAGCCGGAGGAACAGTTTCATTTCCTATGTGTAACAATCGCGGAAACCTAAGAACTCGATATCGTTAAATTATTTAAAACAATCGGTCGTTGAAGGTTTTACTTTGTTCCAGTTATTTATAAAATACAAAAAGGGATAAAGATGATGTCTTCATCAAGTTATTATCTATCTTTATTCTAATTAAAGATTTTTTGTAACGCACACGAGCCCTTCATACCTGCTTAAGTGTCGTGTCTCTTTCAAATTTGTCTATATTTGTAGAAATCTGCGTTCAACTTATTGTTATTTTCTTTACTTCTTTAGCTAGATAAAATAGCCTATAATTATTACACCATAAGTAATGGTGAAAGTTAATTCAAAAAACAAAATAAAATAGAACAAATGATTAATGATATTAATACTTACGTACAAACATAATTTTATATATTTATATAACCTTTAGACACAACATGTAGCATTCAAGAAGTTCATTTTAAAACTATTGATAATTCAAATTGAATTAGGAATTTCCATTGGGATTATAGAGTGCCTTTAGATTAGACGCTTACAGTGGCGCCACTGTGGTGCTGCAGCCGCGCCACTATTAATTTTCATATGATATGTAGAAGCGCAGTTGCGGCGCCACGGTTATGACATGCGCGCCGCGCTTTTACAATCACAACTTAGTGAAAATTACTGCGCGCGGCTGCCGTGCCATTACAGCGCTTCTACAGGGTCTAATTTGAAGGCGCGCTTACACCTCACAGTGCATGATATCTGTCAAAATATTTTTTTAAGTCGCAAAATAATTTTGTCTTACATTTTTGGAGTTAATACTTTACAAAGAGCCTTCCAAACATAGATAAGGACTTCTGTGTAGCGTTTATTTATTCTTTTGACGGTAGACGCATACGAAGCCTGAACACAAGAATAAAAAGTTCATACCACAACAAATACACCTGGAACGGTGGAGAAGTTACGTGAGTTTCAAAAACAATTAAGAGATTTTTTGTCACTGAATGTGATTGTGTTTGCGTACCACACTTATTTATCTGTCCGCAATAATAACAATGGCCTTTTTTTAATTTAATTTTATCGTCTGTGGAAAGGTATATTGTGTAATGCGCCATTTTGAGAGAAAATTTGTCATGTGTATCATTGGTTTAGAATTTTTTTTTGCATGAATTAGGTTTCGTGGCTATCAGACCAAATAATCTGATGATTCGCCACAACTGCGTTTTTATTTTATTTTTTCTCTCATGTTGGATATCCTGTGTGGCATATTACACTTCTTAAGGTGCCTACAGATTTGTATCTTTGAAGATATATATATATATTTGTTTGATATTCTCTGTTTAGACGATCAATAAGATCTATCAGCTGACAGATTTACTTGTTTTTCTCGACTGTACTGTTAAAGGTACAGCAAAAATATATAGTAAAATTGAGATTGTACATTGATTACTATACGGTGTGAAAACACAATTCCTAAAAATTTTCACGATTGACAAAAAGCAAACTTACCTCGAAAAATTTTTCAAGAAAACCGATGTATTCAATAGGTACTTTATAATACCAATGATTTTTTTTTATATCAACTGACCTAAATAGAACACGATATATATATATCGCATATGCATATACATACATGAAATGATATACATAAAATGTATATCGTATATACATACGATATACATTTTTCAAATGGCTTTAATTTTGTTTGTAAAAAAATAAATTCTCAAATAAAGCCGTCCCTTCCGCTCGACCCAAGCAAAATGAACCGTATTAGTACGGGAAAAATTTGAATTCTAGCTGAGTATCGACTTATAAGGCAATATGGCGTTGGGTTTCGCAGTTGTCAATTGTTCATGCAAATCACCATCCTATGAGTGCTGAATAAGGAAACTACCACATTTATCGACATGCAATCGGCTTTTACTATAAAAGCGAACAAACGGTCTGCTGCCTACTTCTGATCTGCGAGCTACTTTCTAATCCAGCGTGTTGCTCCAGCAATTGGCTTACAAATATTAATTACAAATTATACGAGTCGTATATTATATAATAAAAAATAATAAATTTAATTACCTAATAATAAAAAAACAGATGTAATAAAAGGAGGAAAGCATGTCAAAATAATTAATATACAGGTAAAGGGTCGTTTTAGATATCTCTGCAAGCTATCGCTAAATATCAAGCTTAAAATCGAACTTTGCGGGGCATTGATGCCAAATTTGAATTGTGTCAAATTTGTGTGTGTTGAATCAAATATTCGAATTGATTTAATCACGTACAATTCGACAAAAAACACGATGATCGTCTGTTGCTTACACATTTTACTTAGCTGGTCACAGTCGTCCAGAAATCAAGTAAATCTATAGGCACCTTTGCTTTTCCACATACGACATTTGATTTGCCTATATTATATTATCTTTATTTTACCTATCATATATTATATATACTAGTTTCCTGTTCCTGGTCTACAATTCATTAATAGAATTTAGATTAATATCACTTATGATTGTTTATAGTTTTGCGATATTAATTTCGGCAATACGTGCACGAGCATTAGGTAACATGTACAGTATTTTTGTAAATGTGTCTTTATTTTTAGAAATTGGATATCAGTGACAATTTACATAAAGTTGACTGTCCCATAGATTGTAGCTGTTAGTTTCCAGGTGTCCACATCTAACAATTATTTTCATTTTCTGGCCTTTGTCTGTAGTTCCTTATTCCGATATATTATTTACATTACCTTTTGCACGTGACTTCTTTCGCATCAGTATAAAAATGCATAGCCTACCTATCCATTAAAAATCCGTCCATTTATTTTATTAATACTAATTGCTATTACCGCGGAATACCGCTTCTCCCTTTTAAAAATTCAAAATCAGTTATCGTTTAGGTCGTGGGAGAGGTGAGAATCTAACATTAGCTAACGCTGTGGAGTGGAATTCCCCGCCTGCAGACTTATTACCTTAAACGTAATAACTTGGACCTTTTCAAGGCGAGAGTGAATAGGCATTATTTAGGTGTGCATGCTTCACCGACGACCTCGTCGTCACTTTCCATCAAGTAAGATGAAGATCAAATGCGCATTTTATATTAAAAAAAAGATAATCAGAATAATGACAATAAAGTATTTATTATCTCCACAAACAACAGTTGTGTGATTAACATATACAAATATTCGAATTTATATTATTAAAATGATGGCGCAAAATTGAGAAGTGCCTTCTATTAGCTATTTGTCTATTCGAAGCCCTGTGGCTTCAAGTCTACTAATTTTCTTGAAACCATTGGTCATGTTGACTAACTATTGACACTCCAGAGATTATATTGCCATATTAAAATATTGTTATTTTTTTTCCTACTTCAAAAAAGGAGGAGTTCCTCAATTCGACTGTATGTTTTTTTTATTGTTTTGTTACGCGGGTAACGCCGGTGTTTGTGAACCGATTTTGATTACTCTTTTTTTTTGTTGGAAAGAGCAATGGTCCCATTTAAATCTGAAGAAAGTTTCGCGCACTTTTCAGTAACCGATTTCAATTAAACTTGGCAAATAGATGGAATTCTTCGTTTGAAATTAAAATTTTCAAATTAAATATATGCAATATTAGTAGACTAACGCCATCGACTCATCATTCAAGACCAGGCAAAAAATTGCATTGATTTGAATGGTATCTTGATGGTTAGCTACTGACAAGCCTTTACTCTTAACTTTAAGCAGAATATCAAACGTTCAAGATTCTGCCATTGACATTCTACCGACTTGGAGCCCAGGATGTTTCACAACGATTTTTTTTATAATACCTAGTGACGGGCGAATCTGGGGGCCTATGTAAGCTTATAGTAAGCTTATTATAATATTATTAAAATAGGAAAGAAATAGCGCTACAAGAACTGTATAATGCCATTTCTTTCTTTTTTAATGTTCCGAATCGTCCTATCATAGTATAATGTTAAAGTACTTAATATTATTTACATTCAGAGAATTGTAACTGCCAAAAAAAAGTATGTAATAATGAAATCTATTAAAATTACGTCGTTTTCAATTATTTATCTGCATTTTCATGAAGAAAAATAAATAAAACAAGCTGAGTCTTGATAGTCAAGTTGTGAATTCGGAATTACCGTCTAGTGTCAACTGTTAGTGTCGCCAAGGAGCATATAGATGTCGCTGTCATAATTTTAAGGAAATAAAGATCGCGTGTTTTTGTTTAACGAAAAATTATTTCCATGTACTATTAAATAAAAAATAAACAAAATATTGAAGAGATATATGTAAATAAGTTCAAATTAACTTTTAATCATTACAAATCAATATTGTTTTCATTGCATCCGTGTAACTATTTTAAGATTGCTAAATTTGACATAAGAGCAATATTACTTAAATGTTAAAGTCGCGCCATAGTAAGAACTGAGTGAATGAATAGTCACAAAGCTGCCAATAAAACATCATAGTTTTAACATTATAATAAGCTTACTTTAAGCGTGTCATGGTGCGGAAAGTCTATGTAAGGTTAAAGTAATATTGTTTTAAGAGATTGTGGTAGACCCCCTGAATTGTATTTTCTAGGCAACAAAATTTAAATTCCTCTGAATAATGCAACCGCCCCGTAGATCAAATACAAGACGTAAAAGCTAAACAAATAGAGCGTATTTTGCCATGACAGTCAGACGCAGGCGGCAACGCTGACTCCACTCGGCGACCGCGCGGGGTGAGCGCGATGAAATAAGTGTCGAATAAATGCACCCTTAGTTGCAGTGCCTCTCAGAGCTTTTAATCGCAAAGATCTTAGTGTTTGTTGCCACTGTGCCCGTCTCACCTGTGACAAGTCCCATGTGCATGTGATTTCATCAGCACCCTTACTTACCATTCCAACCCGGAACGCAGTAATGCTCACATTACTGTTTGGCAGCAGAAATACGTAAAGTGGCAATACTTCACTGGACGAACTCTTTAACATGGAGCTCTACTGCTCCTAAAAGGATATAGTTGTTTATATCCCCCTTTATTTTCTGCACAAACCGCTATAAAGTGATAACGACCGTTATTTTGGCGTAGCTGCTCTTTTTACACTTACCGTTTAGTGACTAAAAATTCTTAAGCCCCTGTTTTATATTGCAATTTGCATCGAGCGGGCGGGCCTTACGAAGCATGAAATATGAAAATGTCCTCAGATTCATCGCAACCGTAAACCTTTTTACTGCTTTTCATTGTTGTCAACGTTATTTCGCCACTTAGACAACTTTATCGGCTAAATAAAAGTGATAACGATCCGACCGGTGAATTCCTTCTCTCTTTGTTGTCCTAAGGCTTTTTTCATATTATGTTTGAACGTCGTAGGTGGGAACGTAAAAAGTAAAATTGTTAATTCCTATATGTTAGGGAGTCAAAAACTTATTAACGCGGAGTCGACTTGATTCGATCGTGTTTAATCACATTTGTCGCATTTAAGCCGATTCGCTGCTGACGCGGGCGTGAGCGCGCCCGCTGTCGCGCTATTTCTTTCTTCTAAATCAGCCATCGTCGGCATGCGTACTGACGCGATCGGAAATTCGCACGAAGCAGATTCGTTGCCGACCTGTGTGGAGTCGCGACCGTACGAACCGATTCGAACGTCTTTTTCGCTCTTAGGCTGCTAATAGATTGACTGCATATTTTTAGTTAATGCGCGAGGTCGTAATCAACTTCATGCAATCGATTTCGGCTGTTTCGAGTGCATGCATACGTCGTTATACGAATTCTCGACTGCATGTAGTTGATAACGACTGCACGTATTAACTGCATGCAGTCGAGGCCTCGTATAACAACTTCACGCATTAACTGCATTCACTCGAAACCGACTTCATGCAGCGGACTGCATGAAATTGATTACTTCACGCATTAACTGCAACCATGCATTAATCTGTTGGCAGCCTTATGTTTATTGAAATAAAGTTTTTTTCTGACCGGCTTAGGCGATTCTGCGCTAATAAGTTAATAAGTAACTCCCTTATTGGTATGTCCGATTATAGCAATTAATTAATTAATTTATTTCACGACGCAGTCAATCAAATAATACGAGCTTATTTAGAAGCAGTGCCTTTTAACTACGGCGCTTTGGCACCATCCCTCAATGAATAATTAACTTCACGTTGGATTCGATATAGCCTATAAACCTTTACGATAATGCCCGTGTTTTATAATAATATATGGCTATTAAAATGTTAATTTTGAACCTTAATGAAAGTGGGTTTAGTGCGGTGCGTACACGTATAAACAGGGATTATGGTGGGTAAGGCAGTTTTTACTGCCCTGCCGTGATTCCTCTAAGTTACGGCCAAAGCTGCGGGCACATTCTGGATATGGCATATTCCTACCGGCATATACCTAACTTTATGGTTTACGTGGCTGAGCGAGTGTCTTGAGGAAAGTAAACACTCCCAATTTAATGGATCTTTTTACTTAACTAAACTTGACTGTAAAAATAAAATTAAATACTTGACACGTGTAAAATAAATATAGAAACTTGTTTCTCATTTCCGGGAAAAATCAATTGATTTGAAAAAAACATCTCGAGAATTAAAAGCCTCTAGGGAATTTATTTTCAAGAATTTTAGTAGCAGTAGAGCTCGTTGTGAAAGAGTTCGTCCAGGGAAGTACTGCCTTCTTACCTATTTCTGCTATCAAGAAGTAATGTGATGTTTATTGTGATCCGGTTTGGGAGGGTAAGGGAGCTGGTGAAATTACAGGCACGTGGGACTTGTCAACTTATGTCTCATGGTGACGGGCGAAATGGCAGATGATCAGATCTTTGCGATTTAAAACTAAGTGACACTGCAACTGTAAATAACTCTGATATACGTTCAGAAATTTAATTGAAGCCGAGAGAATGCAACATAATGGTTCAAATGCACTACACCGCAATAGGCATTCCAGTCAACAATTCCTTAACTATTCGCTTCCTAATGAACCGGCGCCAGTATTTGTGTCGGGATGCAGACAATGAACATTAGAATTAGACTGGCAAACTGATTTGTATGTGTATGAGAAAATACACCGTGGACACTTTAACACCATAATATTGCCCCAGTAGTTGGTTGTAGCCTATGTTATTTATACGGGCAAATAGGCAGATGGTCCATAATTTGAATTGGATATAATAATAAGTGTGCAATGTCATAATAATGTTATATACATTACTGAAAATCCAAAAAAGTTAATAGATTACTTGACAAGTTCTCTCTTTTCGGTGTTTTACTATATACAGATTTTGTAACCCACTTAATTTTTAGTTACTGCTTCTGCAAATCACAGTCCTTAAAATACGTATTCCTGAATAACGTATAGAAAGTATATTATCGCAATAAAGTGAATAACAAATTTGTTGCAAAACTTTTGGTCTGCGATTATGAACTGCGTCTGGTGATTGCCATAACACGCGGTCAGCTTATCTATTTTCACTCTGTTTTGTTGGTACCAGGGTTGTTGCTGATGCAGCTTTTACACACCAATGAATGCTGCTGCGGATGCAGATTTTGACCTTGACAGCAGCGGATTTTGATTTTATCTATTTTAAAAAAATCTTGAAATCTTTACTGAACTTGTCTACATGTAAAAGCTGTATATTTTCTTTGGTATTATTACAGTAAAATATTGTTTTAATTATTTTATGAAATTCATTAATATAAGAATCAATTTGCATAAAAGCAATCACTCTGCCTAGCTTAACCGTAGTGGAAGTTTATCAAAGTTATATTTCAAAAACAACAGCTGAGCTGCTTCTTCGGCTTGCAGTCTGTTTCTGGAAGGTTTGTAAATTATTTCAGCGCAGCTTTCAAGCCATATCACGACTCGAACATCCGCAATAAATATCAGCATCAATTAATGCTTATCCACGGATGCGGATGCTGATATTCGCGACAACCCTGTTTTGAACTTGTAATTTGACACGCGAAGTGTAAACGAGGCTTCACTTTGTGCGCATTGTATATAAAACTTCAGACTTAACTTTCGGCTCTAGCTTCACATAATTCTCAAACTCGAGTTAAACTTTCTCGTTTGAAAGATTGGACCGATGTTGCCTTGGAAACAATCTCCATGATAACTTTTTCCAATTATTGCTCCCGTCGGATTATATCCAATTTGTTTCCCTTTTCAACCGTATTTATTTATTATTAGGGGAAAACAGCCTTTGATTCATTTATATAGAAACCATAATTAAGGACGATGAATATGTTATTGCTTCAATAGCAAATCAAAAAAAAATCTTGTTAGCTATTAGTAAAGTTTCACAGTCTCAACCACACGCAAAATAGGCGCGTGTACGTCGAGTTGCGAGTTTCACATTTTCAAATGAAGGGACGGATGAAGTAGGAAATTAACCCGCCAATCTTGATTACAACAGCGCGTTTCAGCGTTTTTAAAAAGATTAGAAGTTGCACGAGTACGAATTGTAAATCATACAATTCAAAAGCGATATAGATACTTATTTTAAATTTGAACTGAACACTGATATGTCTATTTCAAATTGCATGAAACCGTCAGTTTTTTGTGGTAGTTTTTTGGTTACTATAGTAAGGCAGCATGCTATTAAATTTTTACGGCATAATTATACCTTTGTTGATGATTCACTAAAACTGTGATGTAGTACATTTGCTGTTTCAAGGGATATTTGGGTTCTATGTATTAGTTTAGCTGTGTCGTGCCTATGGTTATTATTATAAAATATCTAATAACATAGTATAATAAGACAAATAGGGCAATTCCCGTCTGTTCTACGCATCAATGCCTACATGCCTACACGTCGTTCGGAGCGTAGGGCTGTCATTATGGCATGCAAACCGACTACTCGGTTAACCGCAAAAACCAAGTAACCGTCCATTTTGGAATCCTTTGTTAAATGCAGTACTACCTATATATATTAGGCATGTCGATTATGAACTGGAGTGTCGAACAAAAACGACCGTAACTACGAATTTCGTGCTTCGAGAGTAAGGCCCGAGATACGCGGCGGCCGTGCAAGCCGTGCTGCTACTTTTGTACGGAGTAACCCTATTTATCAACTTTGTCTTATTATACTATGATAGTAACGTTAGATACGACACTGACGAAGTTTAATTAGAATCAAATTATATTTCTCGACCCTTTATAATGGTGCGTTCCCACGGCCCATGATGTTAAACGCGCCTCTTTGTATGGGCGAGCTCGCGAAACATTTGAACGATTTGTAGGCCGCGCGCGCTCACCGCTGCGCTTTTGAACTTAGCGACCAGCGGTTGATCCGAACAAGCCGCCTGGGCGAGCAAGGGTTCGCTTGAGCGGCCCTCTTTACACGTCGCGAAACTGGCCAAGGGCCTTGGGAAGCCGCCTTTAGAATTGGAGACGACTTTTTAATAAACGCAGTTAATAATAATGTGCTAGACGAGATAAAGTCAAAAGCAGCCTGGTGAATTTGATATTCGATCTTTTCGGTTCCGTGTTTATAATACGGTGCCTATCCAAGAAGCAGTGCTTGTACAACACAATACCATTGCACAGGCATGACGGTGCTTAAACTTTTATATCTTCGCTTATGCCAGTTTAAAACGAGATGTTACACGACACTAAAACACTTCTTCAGACATGTTCAACGTATACTGCTATTATAACAATGAATAACTAAAGTACATCTGAGACATTGCGAAATGGAGAGTGGTCAGTGAATGACTGTTTAAAGTTGTTGGTATACTTCAATCTCTCTCTCTCTCTCTCTTGCTATTATTATAAGGGCAGTATCCATTCTTGGGAATTCCACCTTGAAATAGATAATTTATGATACTTAATATAAACATCATTGGGTCCGCGACAAGACGGAGCAGTGAGTTTGATGCAAAGGATCCTTATGTAACTGTTTTCTACACTTCTTTAATTTATATAGGACAGCAAACGCAACTTTGTGCTATGAAACGGAAAGAACTGCAGCTTCCTGTAACGTGCCTGCGTAATTATTAAACAAGTTCATCAAACACGTAATTTTCCTTCAGGGCGAAACTCCTGACACTGAAATAGGACGTGTTTACGTCAAGGACCCTGATGATTGGGATACAGCTGATAAGGACTTCATGTGGCTTCCATCTTTCGAGAAACGTTCTCCCAACTTTGACGTTTATCGGTCCAACGGAATGATTATAATGAAGCGCGGTACTCCCGCTGGTACATATGCCTTGACCTTCAACGTGAGTACCATTGTTAACTTTAATTAAATTATTTTCTAAAATATATTTAAGATTATTCGGATCCAAGGATCTTTCTCTTCGTGTTCGCGATCTTTGTATTAAAATTATTACAAACTAGTGGAGTATTTTCACAAAAATAATTGAAAATCATGGTGGTCAAACATCCTGGCATTCAATAAGCTTAAAAATTAGAATTATTAAAGCGACATTTTAAGTCACCGGCTGGTTGCTGTAAAGGTACCTAATTGAGTGATGATCTGTGAAAAATTTATGAAAAGCTTTCATAGATTTCTCACAGATGGCGCTAACGCAAATAGTCGATAAAAAAACAAAGATCTGCAAAAAGCACATAGAAAAATTCGTAAGGTCCGCTGTTTCGTTCTGTAGCTTAGTTGGCATATCGTCTGACACGGTTTGCTGGAAGATGTTAGTTCGACTCCAGCCGGATTGAAGGAATTTTTTCTTAGTGTTCAATTTTTGTGTTAATAATTAATGATAACTTTTTCAAAAATAGTAATGGACAAGAAGATCTCGTTCACAAATCTCACGAACATAAGAACGACCCATTTGGCGGACTTTTTTAACCCGTTGGAGTTGCGGCTAGCAGAGCAAATGCCTTTTATTTGTGTTATTTTATTTTTTTGTTAAATTAGGTGTTCACGGGCTCGTAACAACACTTTTGACACTAATATATTGTCAACGATATAGGTGATCAATTCTTGGTTATTCTGGGAGTTCTGTACTTATTAACAATAGAAAGATAAGGTCCTTTGAATCAATTAATCGTAGGAGTAAATAATGAAGATATTGGTGGCATCAATTCGTACTGAATTTGATTTATAGGTCACCGAACAGTCAAGGAATGTTCCCTTCCACTCTGTTGTCGCAACTGTCAACGTCACTGTGAAGGATATTCCTGAAAAGGCCGTTGACAATTCCGGTTCCATACGTTTCATGAATATATCAGCTGAGAGCTTTATCATCCCCGAATTTGACGTAAGTACTGAAGTATAATTATTACGATTTATTATCAAGCACCTGGAGGCCGATTCAGAACCTTACGACAACTCAGTTGTCGTCCGATTTCTTCTCATTTTTATTCAAAACACCCGAATCGAACGTCAAACTGTCGTATTCGAAACCGAACCGATATGACGTCACACCCGTACTCGAACTTCTCGACCGACAAAGGCTGCAAACGTTGTTCAGAACACAGTTATCGAATGAAAGTTACCGAACGTCCTACTGTTTACAAAGCAAGAATAGAATATGGAAATCGCTAATTTTAAATAAAGTCTGGATTTTGTGCAATTTTATTACTTTATTTTAATGAAAGACTAACGCGTTCCTATATTTTAGACCTTTAAAGTCTTTAAAATCCGAATCCAACTTTTCACTCGGAATGTTCTGAATAGCTCGGAAAGCGCCTTTGGACTCGAGAACGATATTCAAGACCGTATTCCAGAACTCTACTCAATGCTCAAGTCAGGACTTGAGCAGACTTGAGTATGATTTCAAGCACTGGAAATATGACACTAATGGCAAGGACTTGAGTATGATTTTCAGTGCTCTAAATCATACTCAAGTCCTGACTTGAGCATTGAGTACAGTTCTGGAATACGACCCTTAATCGAATATTTAGTTAAAATATCGAAGAGTTCTGAATCGTGGTCCAGGACGAAGCCTCGACTATTGTAATAAAACGAGTACGGTAACTAAACTAACTAAAGTTAGCAGCAGGGCTTCTTTGTGTGCGTACCTGCGCGATAATCTTGCGATGCACTTGCGTTGCATAACATTGGTCGTCCCAACGCGCCTTTCATTATTGTTGTGGCACTTCTCATGACTATTTGTATTTGTGTTTTTGATATATTTGAAATAAAATGTGCTATGTTTGCCTATTCGACAAATACAGCAAACCTTAAACTTGCTTAACCGCGCGCTGATCGGTTTCTCGACACACATCAAAGGAGCTAAATAGGCAAATACTGTCGTCACTATACGAACGAATACAAGTAGTCACGTGTAGTGCCACCATTATGCGAATGTGTGCGTCTATGGCCGGCGGTCGCGCACACATACTTACCACACTGTTATTTTGTACGGAGTTACCATACTTCTCTTGAATAATTATGTCCAGACATTAAAAAAGCTTACCTCTACCATGAGATTACTGTGACACGTTGTCGGTATCGATCACGTAAAATATTTGACAATTTTATATGGCAAATTGTACAGCGGTCTCTAGTGTTCACAAGAAGTAGTAGCATTTTACTAAATATTTACGCGGTAGCTAGTGACGAATGTGATTGTAAACTCATGGTAGCTATTCTTAAGTCCTTACGTACATGATTTGTAAATTTAAAAATGGCCTTGGTTAACTTTTAATTCTATTGGTTTATTCCTTCATCAGGGTTTAAGCAAGAGGGAAAAACTTCATCGGCGTCTTGCCAAAATATTCAATACGTCCTTGGACAACGTGGACGTCTTCTCCGTCATCACGAAGAACACGAACTCTGACAAGTTTCTGGACGTCAGGTTCTCAGCTCACGGTTCACCTTATTATACACCCGAGAAGCTCCATGTTATGGTTTCCAATGCCTTGAATAAGGTGAGGAGTTGAAAGTGTCTTTTGCAACATATTAATGCGATTGTTTTGGGCGATGCGATAGGACATAATAGTTGATGTCAATTTTGGAATAACGTATTTGATGCTGTGCGTAGTAGTAATCTTTCGTGTGATATGAAGTGTTTTTGAACAAATTTCTCTTTAAATTCGTCGTAAGCAATATTTTTTGGAAAAGAAGCTACCACATCTAATTAGTGGTAAACGATAACTGTTTTAGAAATGTACAGGCGGGTAATTTTGTGAATAGTTTTCTGTGCCAAATTTCGGTGGTAATTTTTATTATTTAAATGATGTAGAATATTATCATGTAGTTATTATCTAATATTTGATTGTAGTATCTTGAAATATTATTTAATATTTCACGATAATTTGTTAGACTACTTAAATCATAAAATTGCTACCTAATTCGGTAAAGAAAATTAACCTGGAAATTACCCAGATACATTCTCCATTATGAATGGCATTATCTAGTATTAGAAAAAGTAATTATTATTTATACGGAGGTCGTTATCGTCTATTGATGAAAATAGACTACATTACAGTAATTTTCAAAAGACACAAAAATCTATTGGATTAGCTTGTCATGTTTTTAGATGTTCTATTTTTGTTTATTCATGTACAACGCCCACTGGTGGGGTATCGTTTTGTTTCACTAATCCCTATAACGAGCAAATAATTTGACGACATCGGTGGACTAACGGTTTGCGCTATTTGCGCTGTATGCAAAGGTCTTGGGTTTGATTCCCGGGAAGACCAATTTAGGAAAGAATTTTTTCTGTATTGGGGGTCTACTTCAGTTTCCCATTCGACATCTGTCCGAAACAATAACCGTCAATTACACTTACTTATTTGATAATAATATTCAATCATATTCCACCAAATTAAAAGATGATGATTGCAGGTTGAATACAATGTACCTAATTTTATTTAAGGGTCGTATTCTAGAACTCTACTCAATGCTCAAGTCAGGACTTGAGTATGATTCAAAGCACTAGCAATCATACTCAAGTCCTTGCCATTAGGATCGTATTTCCAGTGCTTGAAATCATACTCAAGGCTGTTCAAATCCTGACTTGAGCATCGAGTACAGTTCTGGAATACGACCCTAAGACCTTTATCATTACTGTATTCTGGCAATCATACATATTCTATTCTATTCTATTCATGATGAGAATGAAGCTTCATACTCGACTTGGTTTTTTGGTTTGGTCGAAAATGAAGTATTATTTGACAGTATTTGTTTCGAAAGGGTGTTGGATGACTGCCACATTATTATTGTTAACAATGCTACGCACTGTTAGTGACACATAAATCAATTACCTATGATTTAATTGAGCAATGCGTTGGGTTTCCGACTTTCTTCAAAAGGCTGAAATGGTCTTGCTTATAATTTTTCTTTATTACCTCTATAAAACCACTCTACGTTTAAAACACATGTAAATACTCTGGTTCTATGTTCGCCTTTAAAGAGTCTAAGTAGGTTTTTTAAAAATAACACTGAACACTATTTTAGTTCCTTGCCTGGCGTACTAAGGGGTAATCGAAGGCTGGCGTATAAAATTAGCTCTATATTAAACTTCAATAACAACATCTCTCGCAGATCGAAGAAGAACTAAAACTAAAAGTATACATGGTCAACATCAACGAGTGTCTATTGGAGAAAGTGAATTGTCCCGACTCGTGCAGGAACATTTTGAACAAGAGCAATTTACCAGCCTCTATTTACACTAATACTACCAGCTTCGTCGGTGTCACAGTCTACATAGACCCTGATTGCCAGTGTATGGTACCGGAAGCAGTTTGTTTGAACGGAGGTGAGTTTACGTTTAAAGCTGTTTATGAGCTATTAAAAGCTTTTAAGTCGCATTAAGGTTTGAGAGAATTCCTTTTTTAAATAACAAGTTTAAAAAAATTGCTTTCAGTTGTGTTAAGGTTCATTGTTGCCTAAATAACAGCTGGATCATAGTTTGTTTTGCTGGGAGGAAAACAAAGAGAATACTCCAGTAGCAAATAGGCTATAAAGACATGTAATGGTCAATAATACCCCAATACATATCTACTTAGCAGCTTCACGGAATCAAAAACCATTTTATCGCACGAATAAGGCTGGTCATTACCACAACTGATTTCTTTGATGGGAATTAGTCGTATACCAGTTGAAAGCATTGTTAGTTATTTTTTTGTTAACGAGCACTGCTTAAATCTTTCCCCTGAAATATGAATATATTATTTCATATTTCATATATTATATAATATATGAAATATGAAAATAATTTACTTTATATTTATCTGATTTATATCTTTTGATGAACAATTAAAAAAAAATTATGTTAATGAGTTGATAACGTATTTTTGTGTATTAAAATTTGTATGTATATATTTCATTCATTCCTCATCTCCGTCGGACTAAATATTCTGGTAAGTAAAATTTACTGTTGTGTTCTGGCAACACTATATTCTTATAGTGATGTCGTGTTAAATGTCAGATCGTATCAGAAAATCAAAGTTAGGGCACTGAATAGAGAAAATTGGTGACTTCTCCACTTCTTGTTCTTAATATCATAAAATATTTTCATTATTACCTTTAAATTTATTTTATCCTAATTCTAAAATTGCCATGTTCAATCTTTGAATACAATACATTCATCATCTTCAAATTCATCAAATTCTACACTAATTTCTGTGGAAAAATATTACTGAGAACATAGTATTTATATTATATTATACCATTGTTGTCCTACAATATTATTCGGAAGCCTATAATTGGTTGAATGTCGAATGGAAAAGATACAACGTTAAGAAAATTATTTAAAAAGAAAAAGGCTTTTTTATAATATTAAGTGATGGGGCGAACAAGTTACGAGCCTGGTGGTAACCGCCATAACAGTGCAGTGCCACTCAGAGCTTTAAATCACAAAGATCTGCGGGGCACTGCCACTGCGCCCGTCACCCTGAGACATAAGCCGACAAGTGCCATGTGCTGTAATTTCACCAGCACCCTTACCCTTCAAAACCTGAAGGCAGTAATGCTCACATTACTGCTTGGCGGCAGAAATAAGGTAAGGTGGCACTCTACGAACTCTTACACTGCCACTTTAAAAGGCGGGATTTTCAGTGTTACGACCTGTCACTGTCACGCATGGAGATTAGCAATCCTTTTGAGTTATAGGTCCATGGTTTTATATATTTGACGATCTACTAGGTGGCCTAGTGGTTGTAGGGTGAGGAGGGCCCTAGTTCGATTCCCACCACGAGCCATTTATGAAACGAACTTTTCTGAGTGATTTCTAATGTGGGTGTTCCGGACTGAGTTACTTCCGTCGATAGTTCTGATACGCATAGTATTTTTTATTAACTTTGAGACCAGTTGGTGAGCTTCTTTGGTATAGAAATATAACCAATATAATATTTTGTCACACAGGTACTCCATTTGCAGATAAATGCGAATGTCCAGAGGGGTTGACCGGGCCTCGGTGCGAATCAACCAAGATCGGATTCAGTGGCGACGGCTGGGCGATATATCCGCCCCTTCAAACCTGCCTTCAGGGTCGTATCTCCCTCACTGTCACTACCAACACACCTGACTGCCTCATTTTGTACATGGGCCCATTAAGAGCTAGCCAATTCCTTCGGATAGCAGGTACGTATCTTTTGTGTAATACTCAGTTATTGTAGAAAGGGTCAGTGGCGCTCATATTACTGGGGATCAGAAGTACATTTCAAAGTGATCAAGTGATATTCGTAATCTAAGGAATATTAGACACTGTTTAACTGCCGAGTTATGGTTATAATAGAGTTTAAATTATACTAAAAATAATGTTTTAAAAGTGAAAAATTTTTATAACTAAAACAAGAGCAAATACGTAATAACCCAAACTAATATTATAAATGCGAAAGTAACTTTGTCTGTTACATTTTCACGCCAATATATACTCCGTCCAACCATCTACTTATAATTCTCTACTCTAAATCTCTAAATCTACTCGAATTCTAATCAATTCGTGATGTCTTAATTCCGATTCGATTTTTTTATAACAATCAATTGTATCTAAAAAGAAGTTTCAATCGTGAATGTGAGCGAGTTCAAAAAAGAAGATATTGTCTGATTGGGATCGTGATGTTGCGTTTGACAATTTGTGTACTCAAGAATTCATGATTAATATTAATGAGGATTCAAGAGATGATTCCCGTTCATATGGAGAACAATCCGACGATTCATTATAATAAACAATAAGAATTCATTATAATTTATTAGACAAGTAACAAAATTTATCAACTTGAATAATTATCGTTATATAATCTGTTGGCTCGATAAATATTGGAGTTAAAGAGCACGTCGCTTCACTAAAATTAAAAAATAAGTCCAAGAAGTATTGCATTTTATGTCTATGGTTGTATGTCAGTGATACGGAACTTCGGAGCCATGCATATGTCAAAAGTTAAATAAATGGTTGGATGGAGTAATAAACAACTGAACCAAATTTATACTTATATGAAGTCGAAACCGACTTCATGCAGTCGAGATCGACTTCATGCAGTTAAAGCGTGAAGTTATTATCAACTTCATGCAGTCGTTGTTATCAACTTCATGCAGTCGAGATCTCGGTTGCATGAAGTTTATTACAACTTCACGCACTAACTGCAAACTTGCAGTCAATCTGTTAGCAGCCTAAAAAGGAAATCAGCACGACATTCCATAAAATTATTCCAAAGATTACGAATAATTTTAAGACGTACTGGGCACCGTAATTAAGGAATTATAAAATATATTCACTTTGTTTTAATGATATTGATTTTCATTGTCATCTCTTACTGCAGTGAAGTGTGTGTGCATCTGACTAATCATTTTTCATCTGGATATGTTGCTCTCAGACAGATGGTATACATGTTTGGGAACGTGGGATTTGATAAAGAAACATTTAAAATTCTTGAGTTTTTGTGTTTTGGGTAACATTTGTGGTGGTATCTATTTGTTTATGTTTATTATACTTTCAAGCGGGATCTGAAATTCTACACCTACAATAAAAAAATACGAAAAGCTGAATTTTATTACACAATTTAAGAATTTTTAGAACAAAGAGTAAGATCCGAAAGATTTGTGTATACTAACAATCTAACTGTCTATTAAAATGTACGTGACTTAACGGCACAGTTTTATTTGTCCTCGAACATAAATTTATCGTGTATCTTCGCTATACAAAACAAGTAAAGAACATTTTGTAGAATATAACGTGTTACTTGCCAAAATTCATTGGACGATAGAAACGTAGATTCCTTCTGCTTGCCAAATGGCCAATTCTGGTAAGTGGAAACTACACTACAGTCGTTAACCATTGAGTTAATTTCCGTCACCGTTTTTTACCTGCAGAATACATTCAGTAAGTTTACCGTATACATATATACAGCATAGTTAAAATATGTTTTTAATTATGGTCAAGTGGGTGGAAAGGAGGCTCGAAGCCATAACTTTTGCTCTAAAGAGTTTAACACTGTAGTCTCTCAGTCGATAAAACAGACAAACAAATTAGTTTAAATGTTTTTGAAGAGATGTCGCTACCATACTTCAAATCCAAAAGGCGAAAAAATACGAGGTATGTACAGGTTGTAATCGATTCTATAAATATAAGAGATATCAAATACCTTTATACCTACTAATATCGAAAGTACGTTACCTAATCATTAAAACGATATCAATAACTTCTTACAAATGAAACTAGAAACATCTAAAAGAAAGATGGCGATATCCCGTGTATTTTGTGACCCAGTGTTTTTCACGACGTGCTTTATAGGGAGACCTATCGATACTTGTGATTCATTATCAAAGCATCAAAAAAGCAAATTGAGTATAGCCTGTAGAAGCTGGGGTTATAAAGTTGATATAGGATATGTTTATAGCATTATCCTGTATTTCGCTTCAGATGTTTGTTCGTAGTAGCAGAAAACAAACATGTTTTCACTTTGTTCCCAAAAATAATAAAGAACTTCCCGAATATTCTCAAATCAGCCAAACTCTGCCACATTTAATATAACTTATCATGTTCTGCAGCAATAAAAATGAATAAAAATTAGATCTGCCCAAATGGCAGAAATCTGCCCAAATGGCAGACATCTGCCCAAATGGCAGACATCTGCCAGAAATGGTCACACTGTTCTCAATATCAATGTGACATTGATATTGGCAAGAAGTCTTGTTAAAACTTTCCTTTGCAACTTTCATTATCTCTCATATATATATATATATTGTCTGAATGTTTTTGTTACATTGTGTTTTAATTTTTGCTTTATGTCGTTACTGTTAAAAAGAATTCTGATACACACTTGGCTTTACTTTCATACAGAAATACTCCCATGGAATGTGGCTATAGCCCTAATGAGTTATTGTTCAATAGATAGTGTAGTAGGCTACCAATGCATCCAGATAAATTAAAAGTTAACACTAATATTCACAATGACTTTATTTCCAAAAAGAATGTGAATAGAAATAAAATGGCAAAGTATTATAATAATAAACACAGAGCAAGTTCCATTGAGTGATTTAAATACAGGAGATAGTGTCTGGATTATAGATTTACGGAGATACGGTGTAATTGAAAGAAAGGCAAAGAAACTGAGGTCATACTTTGTACGTTCAGAGCATTGACTTACAATTATAGGTCAGAGGGAATAATTTATCGAAGGCCATCTATTGCATTCCTGCACCTTTCTGTAGTGATCTGCATAATCTTCTTTTGAAGAGGAGGTTATAGTAACAGAAAGTAATAAAGGAAAAATACCAAATAATTGTTCCAATGATTATAAGGAGAAGGATAGAAATAGCTTAGAAAATGGCGAAGTTTTTGCAGGGCAAAATAATACTGAGGTAATTAATGAAAGTGTGGAAAGGCCTCTAAATAGTCATAGATGTTCAAGTAGAATAAGAACTAAATCGAGTTGGTGTAAAGATTACGTTATGGGTTAGTAAATAAGAATTATTTGATTGTTAGTGATTAGAAACTGTAGAGAAAGGATGTTGTAGTGGGGACATCCCTATGACGTCTGTCACATTGACAGCCCGCGTAAAATACTTTCTTCTTCTTGTGTTTGTACAAAGCTGATTGGAATAAAGATTAGAAGACCATAGGTGGAGCTTTACTTATCTAACTATAGCAGAACAATTTCGTTAAGTGTTTTTTTTATAAATAATAAATAAATAAATAAAAGCTCTCATTATTGCCTCCAATATAAACAAAACAAAATTATAAAACCTTAAAAAATAACTACACTTAAGATACTATGTAAATATTTTTGGAACTAGAAATTATAATTAACAAATTTAAATTAAAAAAACTATGATGCATCCAGTAAAATAACATTTCATTTGCTAAAAACTAACATAGAATACATTCTTTTCTTATCTTTGTTGTCAAAATTAAATATGTACGGTTCTTATAGAAGGCGTAACCTCTGCAAAACAAACGCTCCCTTGGCAGGTAAAAACTTCCCACATCAGTACTTTTCCTAGTTATCTACTTGTGATGATAGTGCACTAAAACTATGTTCATTATACTAACTATGTCGTTAACTAGGTAGGATTCGAGTTCAATAAAGTAACAATGAATATGTCTGGGTGAATTGACGGAACTACTTGAGTAATGATTTCCGAACGAAATTCACAATGGTGCCTCGTTTCGACTGTAGTGTTATTTTTAGTTGTCCTAGCCAGGGTTGTCACGTGTGGGCCTACCTTATGATTTTACTCCTAGTACCTTAAAACCTCTAATAGAAGAAGCGATTGTTTAGCCTCGAAGCTAGAAGTTGTATTAATTAAAAAATAAAATACGGACACAAAAAAATTGCATTAAATAAAACTCACCATGAAATGTAAAGTGAAAACCACATTCCTGTTGGCTCATAGCAGGAAACATACGTTGAAATTTAGCAGAACTTGCAGAACTCTATCTTTGCACATACAATTACTTTAATTAAAGTGCAGGGTTACTTTAAAAGAATGGATAAGCGAGCTTTGGTGGAAACTAATACAATTTTCACTTGAAACTCAATTCAGATTGGACTACCTTATGAATAAATTGAAGTCGTATAAACGTCAAAGCAAAACCAATTTATACATATTAAAAATCAACAACCAACCCTAAAAGAATCAACATCACATTATCAAAACACGATTCCAGTTGCACTCGTGAAATTACCACCTCCTTGGCGACCCTCTTTTCACGAGTGCTTTTAATGATTTTTTAATGACCCTGTAATGACTGACAGGCGTGCTATGTGATTTATGGTGTTGTTCGCGTGATGTCGACTGCAGTATGTCGCACTTATAAGTGGATCACATAATTTATTTTACTTCCATATTTGTTTCGAAGACCTTTGTGATGTTAGTAGTTAATTAATATAGGTACTGTTCGGGACATAATAGGGCAAACCTTGTGTTTGTTCTAATGTAAATTGAAAATACACATGGGAGGCTAAAAAACAGGGTAGGAGCATTAAAAATTTTTGAATAATGCATAGGTATAATCAATCATTCTATTTGTTTACTTAACTCGTGAAAATATATTACTTATTTTTATTGTTATGTTGATTTATTTTCATTAATGAAAGCAGATAAAAATAATCTGGTATAAATTTAAAAAAATATCGGCTTGCAAATACTTCACTGTGTAAGTTTTGAATATGGAAATGACATATGTTATGTAAAATAGAGGTCACAGAACTCCGATATCGCACCCCGTTACAGAACCTCTCTATTAACTTTCTCAATGTGTCCACCAGATTTTATATCATTGGAATTGCTGGAGGGTCATCTCGTGCTAATGATGAACTACGGCTCCGGCACCACCCGCATTAACAATAGCGTGATTACTGTTTCCGACGGCAACCCGCACTTGATCGAGGTCACTTTCACGAAGACCACTATCGAACTCTTCGTTGATGACTGTCACTTTACCTCATGCATGGCACTTGGTGCACCAATTGGACCCAGCGAACATTTGAACGGTAAGCATTCTCGTGGTAAGGATATAGGTGTAATGATGTGCACAAATACCAACGTATAATCGTAGAAGGCGCTATAACGGCGTTTTTGGGATAAAAAACAACCCAACGTTTTTGATTGACACACTAAAAAGTTTCTAACCACTGGATGGCAGTACACTCGAGTAATTTTACCAACTCGGTTTTGGTTATCTAGAACACGCAGCTTTAAGCGTGACTCCAAAAATACCGTTTTAACCACCCACAAAACATGAAAAAAACAACAATGAAACGATCTGCAAGCTCAGACAAAAATCGGCACCGTTCAATTAATACCAATCCATTACAGACGGGACCTGTGAACCCTAATTTCAAAGCCTCTTTCAAAGTTTCGTTAGCACAATTCGCATTCCAACACGATGTCCGCTGCGGACAGCCCACTTTCTATGTTAACGCTAGCTACTTGAAAATTTAAAATTTGTCCAAAATTTTCGCCGTAGGTAAATATGGATAGCAAAATTTACAAAAGGCTATTTGTAAATTTGTCAAAATGAACGTGTCTATTTTAATATAAATAAATAAAACAATTAAAAAAATGTTAAAATATTTTTCCATAATTAATATCAATTTATGAACACAAGAAAAATCTTTTGCATGAAAATTAATATATAAGAATGTATCTAGATTGAAAAAAGCAAAACGTGGAACAGGTTTTTGTTTAAATTAATTGATATACTGCCTACAATGTTTGTATCTGCGCTTATAATCTATGATCGGATTGCACGTACATAAACAAGTTGCCTATCTTCAAATTGGCAACTGTTTGTTATTTATTACATTAAACAGTTAAATAATAAAATTATGGCATGATGTACATTTTTTTGCTAATTAAATGACGCAATTTTTCAAACGTCAGGTTCGCCCCTTTGCTCGATGTAGACTGATCTCAAGAACTTACACTTGTGTGATTTTCGAATCTTCACGACACGGACGTTAGTAACATACCTGCCTTTTTAAAGAATATAATATCATTGTTTGTATATACACATTGTTTGTCAAGTATGAAACGATGGGTAGACTTTTGCATACATAGTGGTCAATGCTACTTTGCGCACAGATCTCTTACAGGTCATACATAGGACTGAAGGTCTACCACGAAATACGAAGCAACATCATTGTTTTAGCTTCGTATCGGACCGGACTCTACCACGATACGCGTACGAAGATTGTGACTTGACATAAGTCAAATGACAGCTTTCGTATCGAATTTTGACATTATTTTCAATGTAAAACTGATATATTAGTACGTATGTGCTTCGTTGCGGACGTTAGTATCGTATTTCGTGGTAGACTTCCCGTTTCGGACAGTGTAGGTTGCGGACTGCACTCTTATTCCAATAATTTTTTTGTGAACCTTCTTCGATATTATGGATATAGAAATATCGACTCCTCAAGAGAATCGAGCGGTGCTCACCGTGGTAACACATTCTCCTTCAAACAAGACGCTTGTAGAAGAGCTGCAGTGGCGCGGCAACCACGCGTCTGTAGTACTTCAGTAATTTTAACCGACTTCAAAAACCTAATTCACCTGTATTTTTATTCTTTACCTTTTTAAAGTTTGCTTACAGGCTTATTTTATCGGATTTACACTTACTTGACAAGTTATCTTGAAATTGGTTAAAGCAAAAGTGCGCTAAATCGGATTTATCTCTAGTTTGCCATCCTTAGATGTTGGAAGATGTTTTTCAAATTTATATGGGATCAATACTGAGGCATCCTTTTTCCAACAAAAAAAGAATAATCAAAATCGGTTCACAAACGCCGTAATCGCGCAACATACAAAAAAAATCTGTAGCGCTTCAGTCATTTTTACTTTGCTATAAGTGACTGCAAAAGGAGCGCGCGCGTGTCACAAAGGTTCTAAATATTGTATGAAAATTAATAGTGGCGCGGCTGATTGCAGCGCTTCTAATTTAAAGCGTCTAATTTAAAGGCGCCCGAATTAATGTAACTTGATGGAAATATTTTGTGCGTAGTCAACGGTCCTATCTTCATGGGCGGCGTGTCAGTCGATCTTCAGGAAATCAGCGATGCTTTCAACTGGTCCTACGTCCCGAGCAACCGCAACATGATCGGTTGCATCTCCAACTTCACATATAACGACCAGGTAAAATATATTGTCCGTCTCATTTCACACTTTTATCGAAAAATAAAACATCATTATGCTTATAAAATTTGAGGTAAAAATTTTGCACTTTTCAATGTATACAAAAAAAAAATACTAATGAAAAGCCAAAGAGCGGTTTAGCAACGTGTCTGCAGCGATTTAGTCGCGATGCGGTCGCTATTCGCGATACAAGCGCGCGTTTGTGCAAACGACACTTGCGATTTGTAGGCGATTACATCGCGATACAAACGCGTTATTGCGTCCATGCAAACGCACGACTTCATCGATGCCATAGCTTGTGTTGAATCATTATGTGCTGTACACATTGAAAATGATATACATAAATAATTGAATTATTTACAAACATGCTTCGCGATTTTGCGACGATTGTATAGCTGCTTAAGTCATGAGTAACATAAAAATGTGTGTAAAGGTAGTCTACTATCGACTGCATCGCTACTGAATCGCTGCAGACGCGCGATTTGAGCATCGATGCAATTACGACGCAAACGCGATGTAAGCGCGATGCAAAAGCGATGCACGTTTTTATTGATTCAACATAAAAGACTGCTTTGATGCAGTCGCGCGCTTGTATCGCTGCTGGAAGTCACCGTATGTAACCGCTGTAAATGTTTTTTGTAAAGAGATATCAGTCTATTTAGGAGCTATCTAGTGACGAATACAATGCACGAAAGTTAGATATTTCAATTAACCATAATGTATTTTTAATATGTGCAAATGTTATTGGTGATTAAATTAATTTTAATCGTTTGTTGCGCTAGCCGTACTTAAAAGCCCCCACTGGTTTGCGTCGGAGTATCGTAAGTGATTTGTCAACTTAGTTCATAGAATTTGTTTAAATTGGCTTACGTTACCGAGGCTTCAAAGTAATTTGTGAATCGAGCGAATTTTGTGATGTCTCATTTCATTCCATTTGTATGATAGTCTGTTAGAAATTAATAGTCTATTATTAGTATTACCGTCAAGTTGGGTAAGTTTGAATATCCTTGTGGCTTCCAACCTTGTAGTAAAATTACATTGATAACTGCGTGAAACAGAAAAACCAAACATTGTAGACGTCAAATGTGACATAACATTGACAGATACCAAAGAAGTTTTGAAAGGTACGCGCCATTTTCCGTTCGCGGTGTTGCTTCAGTTTCTTTTTGTACTCGTTGATGGCTTGTTCGCTGAGACAAGTTAATTTAGTTTGGCAACCAAGTTTTATTTTATTGAAAACACGGGTATAATTTACCTAAGACAGAATTTCGCTGCCCGAAATAACTCTATACAGCGCATCGAGTATATAACCAGAAATAGAGACGAAATGTCATTTAATTTGTTTGAAAACTATTCTGCCACATCATTACTGTGACAACTGTGATTGGCAAACCCGAGTTCGAAACAGTTAAAAAGTCGACTTGATAAACTTGATCTTTTCTATAATGGACGAAAATTGCAAAACTACATATTTAATACTTAATTACCGATAAAATGTGATTCCATTTGTATTGTAATTAGATGTTTTGCTATTTTTCCCACACCACCGAATAGAACAGCATGGCATTGTTAGAGATATTATCTTTATTACAATAAATACATATTTTTTGGAATATATGGAGACGTACACACAGGTCAGTAGTTGGCATGTCTATATTTCAGTGCAAACGAGAGTTTATATTTATAAGAGCTATATCGCTAATGTGTTACCAGGAATATATGGCCCTTATTTCGTCTCAATTTCTGGTTATATACTCGGTGATACAGCGTAATCTTCTCCATAGCTTTTTTTTTTCCTTAAGAAAGGACACTCAATCAATAAAACCTATTTCGACCAATACGTTGTTATTTTAATATTCGTAAAAACTTGAGAAAAGTGTTCTAAGTTACCCAAGTTGACTGCAGTGATATTATAATATTGATATTGGTTTCGGTAACTAAAGATTTTTGTTGTCTATCGAGCGTTTCTATGATTTCGTTCTTGTGGCTTATTTTTTTTTTTATTTTACGCAATTTTCTTTTAGAGAATTTTTGGATAGTAAAGGCATTACAGTTTTGGCGACCGCGACCGCGACCGGCGACAGTGACTAGTGACTACAACCCACTGCTTATTATGAATTTGTATCAAGCGCTGACCAATAGAAAGCGCTCGATACAAATTCATACTAAACAGTGGGTGGCGGTCGCCGGCCACCAGTCGCGGTCGGCAACATTGGAATATAGCTCTAAGGATGATTCACATTATACCGTGCCGGGCGCGAGCCGTGACCGAGACGTCCGAGCATCAGACGTGCTGCATATACATATTCACATTAGACCGTGTCGGGCGCGAGCCGTGTCCGAGGCACCTGATTCTTGTACGTGCCGCACGATCTTAAATTAGACTGACTCAATCAATAAGACGCGGTTTACGCTGGAATACGAACGTACTGTTATATCATATTGTAAAGCACTGGGTAATTTCTTACGCATTCAATTTTTCATCATCCATTTTTTAAAAAAGACCGTAGTTACTCACTTTAAAGTCGTACACTCGGACGGGGCGCGTACGATGCACTGGAGAGTGTTTACATTACAACGAGCCGAGGTGTGCCGGGCCGCATGTGAGTCTCGGACGAGCTCTGATGCAGCTCGGGCGTCTCTCGTCCGTGTCCGTCTGGCGCCCGACACTGTCTAATGGGAATAGTCCTTTATAGTTAATTTCACATAGCATGGGTTGAGATTTGAAGTTTCTAGAGAGGTCGTGCCGTAAAATCTAAAAAAAAAATTCTGATCACTTAGCCTGCATACGTTTAGAATTATTTTCTAGAAATATGTATGTTGATACTTGCATGCGATAAACTCCATCCAACTATTTGTTTTACTTTTAACATATGCATGTCTACGAAGTTTTCTTAATTATTGACAGGCAACCATAGACAAAAATATGCAATATTACATGGATGCTTTTTTCTTCACTATAGTGAAGCGACGTGCTCTTTAGCTCCAATATTTATCGAGCCGATTATTATTCTAGATGATAAATTTTGGTACCTGTTTAGTAAATAAGAATGAAATAAAATAAATTATAATAAATTCTTTTTGTTTATTGTAATGAATCGTCGGATTTTTCTGTACATGAATGGGAATCGTCACTTGAATCTTTAATAACATTATTTATTAATTCTTTAGCACACAAATTGTCAAACACAACATCACGATCCCAATCTGACAATATCTTCTTTTCTATACCCGCTCACCTTCACGATTACGGCCGCAATTTTTATTATTAAAATATTCTAGAATATTGCCAAGAAGTATTAATTAATATTTGAGTGTAGTAACTTGAAATATTATTTAATATTTCACGATAGTAATACTAAAATACTTAAATAATAGAAATTGCCACTGAAATTAGGTAAAGAAAACTAACCTAAAAAGTAACCTAATGATAGAATATTTTTTCCAAATTAATACTTTCCTTAGTACTGCGTAAGGTTTATACTGAATTGTATTCTCAGACGTACAATCTCGGAATGCCCTCGTACCACCTCAATGCAGTCGACACCTGCACATTGAGTTACATGAGCGGTGTCATGTTTTTCTTCCACACAAACTTCATAGCGACGGTCATCGCCTGTCTGGTGGTTCTCATCGGTAAGTACTGATACAAGTAAAGCTCTATCTGTATAATTTTTATTTTTATTTCCTTATCAATATGGAACATATTTCCGTCTTTGTGTGTTGTAAACGTAGCTGCGTATTAAGGTTGCAAAAGACGAACAAACCGAGGTAATATATAATATTACTGCTCAGTCTCAGTTGTGAAGCAAACACCCTTAAATTTCTATTTAAAAAAGACAAGTTATATTTTGACCCTGCCACTGTGGCGGTAGCGCTACCAACTCTAATCAGCACTATCTTCTCGTTCAAAGACCCAAAACGTTTTTCAGTCGGAAGAGCATCTGAAGAGAATAATTTTCAATAACAATTAACATTTGAATTTCGAGCATGAATTTGCACCGAATGTTTCACAAAAAAGATGGAAGGAAGAAAATTGATAATAGTGCATCTTCTATTTATCTCTCAGACGCAAATAAATATTGTTCCTTCTCAGAGGTTACGATGGAAGCTTTGGGGATTTAATTTTAGAATGTACTCGGAATTCAATACAGTGATAAATAATATTTTGTACTGGTAACTTTGGTTCTCAATATCACTAGAAAATATGTTCTTTAAATGTCCGGAACATAGCGAGGGCTAAAATTTAACTTGTCAGCCTTTTTAACAAAAGTACAAGCGGCTCTGAATCATTTAAATTGACATTACGAAATTAATTTCCATCAATCCAACCACACCTCTTAAAAGTAATAATGTCAAAGCTTGAATTTTGCAATGAGAGTGCTGTATTTAGGATCATGTTGAGGCCTCTTTTTCCCGAAGGTATACTTTCGAGGAACGCGGCAATATTGAAAGTGATGCTTCCGCGAGTCACATATCAGCGCAGGTTACTGCGCGAAGTCGATATAGTACGGACGAGCCACATTTTCGATTTGCCACACAGAAAGATCTTGTTTTATTTTGCTACAGTTCTAAATATTTTCATTAATCCAATTTCGGTTTGTCTCATTTTTTAAAATACCAATCAAAGTCAAGAACAAAATGCATTACAAACTTTGTCATTTTGAAAAATATAAATTTGTTTTTACGTTGGCATACCGAAAATCGAAATCTCGTTGTCGCAAACTGAAACTGGCAAGTTGTTACTAACATGCTGAGGTACAACCCGTACTTATATTTGACACAATTTAAAAAAAATAAATTTATGCCAGTGGCTTAACCGTTCCCGCCAAATGTGCAGCTTTAGTTTTGAAATGAAAGTAAATTTTACGATAATATTGATAAAAGTCAATGTAAGTAGAAATTCCTAAGTATAATAATATAATGACAACTGAGGCCGAGAATTATAAAAACTTTGACTTCTACTAAGCTGAAATGGCGCGCTTAGCAAGTTTTTGGTATATACAGAACGAACTTGCTTAAGTGTAAGTAAGGTAGTGCGAAGTAAACTCAAAGTTTAATTTAATTTCTTGCCTTGACACAGGCAAAATTCATTATGTAAATACGAAAAACTTGCTTAGCATTATTTATAGACGAAAAACTTGTCTTAGATCGCCATTTTTGCTTAAACGAAAGCAAAGTTCGTTTTATAAATGTCTGATTATGAATTATTTGTCCACAATGTTTCTTCGCTTGTATGCATGCATTGTTTTTGTACACTACGCTGCGTCAATGACATAGCACTGCCGTTATGTAGTGGCGACACTGACACGCTGCTCGAAAGTTTACCTTAACAGTTTTATTTTGAATAAAGGTTCGTTTCTTGGTTCGTTCTAAAATTAAAATTTTTTGGTGAAAAAGAAACATGATCTAAAGGAACGTTGTCAGAGGCATTTTTTTTTATATAAACATTGACTTACAATCATATGGACGTCGGGTCCGCGCTAAAAAGTGTCCGCACTTTTAAGGCGCTAAAATCGTATACAGAGCGCGACACTCCGCTTTAGTCTTCATTTGTTCTACTGACAGCGCGATACTGCGATGACATTACAATTTAAATTTCGAATAGGTTGACTTGGGACATTTTTTTCGTGGTTTTTGTATTAGACCCGTCGTCCATTTATTTGTAAGTCAATGTATATAAAGGCAAATTTAAAGCTCGAAAAATTGTAGAATGTTTAAATTATAGCTTATTTTCATATCACGCTTAAGAAAATGGCAAAATTTTTTTTAAAATTAAATTTAGATGAAAGTGACCCGACACAAAATTCCAACTTTTCCGAGAATACGCAAAATAAAATCTGATGTTGTAACATTTTCACATTATTTAATTCATTATTTTGAAATACTAAAGGTAACGATGAAACATTCCGCTTCATAAAATCGAAAATTGATTGTGATTATTATGTTTTTTTTTTTTCAATAAGTCCGTTTTGCCTCGCTGCTGGGTCAGTTCATGATTAAATAATTTATGAACAGCGATTTTTAAAGTCGTTTTATGGTAAAAACTCTTTTTGTTGATTTTTTAATGTATAATAAATCAAAAATATAATTTACGAAATCTAGTCGCTGTAAGGTAGGTTTTTACCAAATTTTTTTTGTTGTCATTTGACCTGACAAGAATCGTCATTTTCATTTTCACAAGTTAAGCAAGATGTTACGACCTTATCAAGATTAAACCGTTTTAATTACAAAAGAAAGTCATTAAGAGATAAAGTAAGTCATGTGTGTAAAAATTCAATGATGATTTTCAAAACGACTTAATTGCTAATCCGCCACTTACTCGCCAATGGTGGCGGCGTGTTGTCTTTGCAGAAGCAGGTTCAACAATAAATGCGTCATTAACATACGCACACTGAAGTAGACTTTATTATAATATATGAAAATGACGATAGTCTGTGCCATTCGAGCTTTAATGGGTCAGTTCAGGATTAAATAACGTTATTAACGAACAACGCTTTTTAACGTAGTTTTATGGTATAAATTCATTTTGTTGTTTTTTAATTAGGTCACTTTCATTCTAAAGATTGTTTTATTTATATCTATTTTGTTAGTTCCTCAAAAAATTACTAGAATTGATTGTGCGATGTTATGGATTTTGAAAAACTAAATTGAATTCTCTGAAGACGCTCCTTTAGGTGCAAGTACTTTTACACTATTATTCCAGTACAGTAAAAAGAAAACAGTACTAACAAGTGCTCTTATTAAGCGCGCAAAAAACGAAGCAGAGCAAACAAGCAGAATTGTTGAACTATTGTTGAGACTGAGACGTAAATATCTTTAGTGGGAAGGAGTGTCAGTGTGTAATATACGCAATTAATGTTGCTGCTGGTTTTTTTTGATATGAATTGTTTATTACAACACTTCCGCAACGCTCAGCATGTTGTGCCCTTGTAGAGAGCACATAGCATTTTCATTAAGAGATATCGACATTATTCGGGCTGTGTTGTGCGACGCGGTGGTGTAGTCTTTAGACGCAGTTAGCAGTAGATGTTGCAGTTGGAGATTTCCAGACTTGTTAACCGTCTCCACCGTGTCTTCTTGTTTTTTTTTTGCTTGAATTAAAGTATGTGCTGGTTTTGTTTCAAAAAGTTTAATATATATGAATGTAGCTATCTGTCGATATCTGTCGATATCGAAGGCAGTATCTTTTATTAAACTGATCTTCTACCTGCAAGTGTGATGAATACGGCTTAACCAGACTAGAAGGCAGCTGCGTTTGCAATTGTTATTCATGTAACATTATATTATCTACTTTATTTTTAAGTGTTTATAGCGTTCAGCTTTTTTCGACCGTTTGTATTTTAATTTTACTATTACCTACGCAATTTTTCGTCCTACTTCTCAATTTGGCTGGAAGATTAAGTGCGTTACGTGTGTTGTTTTCAGACATTTGATCTATCTGTTTCTGAACATAACTAATTTGAACTAAAGGTTAACTCACGTATTTAAGTCGAATTTTTGGTCGACATATTTCTGTCATATTTCTGTGAGCATATTTCTGTGAGCAGTCTGTGGTTCTCAACAAGGAACTTCTGCCGCGGTGACAAAACTAAAACTGTGCGCCAAAGCCCTGACAGTCCGGTCATTCAGTGCGAGTGCGGGCGCAGGCGGCGGCGAGCAACTCCTTCATTCTTATTGAAGTCGTGGAGTGCATGTGAATAGAGAAAACTTAAGGGTGTGAATTTGGATGCATTATATTAAGAATAGGTAAAACCAATGTGTTAATATGAATGAAATGCGATGTCAAATCAGCGTGCAAAATTTGTATATACAATTTTTTTTTTTGCATTTTTAAGAAGAAAGTAAAACGACGAAAGCAGGATTCCACGCACATTCTAAAGCCTCATTCACACATTCTAAAGCCTCATTCACACTAACCATCACGAAAAGTTAAAGTATTAAGTTTATTAAATTGTACCATACCTGTGAAAAGCAATAAATAAATGAAAAAAAATGAAATGAAATGAAAAAGAAAAAAAATCGAATGAGTTATCTGTTAGTTCAGTTAATAATGTCTGAAGCTCTCGGTAGCTTCCTACTCAAAAAAACTAGAGTTGACATTTCTAAATGGCTATGTTTTATATTGCCAAGAACAGGTTTTAGGTGTGTCAATTTTGGTAAAAAAAAACGTAATAAATGTGTAATTACGCCTACATTCCAGCCAACTTCCGTAAAACCTATTAGTTTCGTTGTAGTAATGTTGTAATAAACCTGTGATGCCGCCTGAAGTCCATTCAACGTTGTACCCTACCCTTCCGATGTAGCCAAATTCGTATACAGAAAAGCAGTCAGACTGCAAAAATGGTAACTACAATAACCACTTGGCGGTTTGAGAAAGAAATCATTTTTACTAAAGCTAGTTCGGCAAAATATTTCTTGAATTACACTTTCCCGATTTCCGCACATCATTTGTTTTAAAAAAAATCGGGACTTATCGATTCAACGTTTCGGACGTCACGTCCATACGTCCATGTCCGAAACGTCGAGGTAAAGACGCCTTCAAATTAGACGCTTGTAGAAGTGCTGCTGCGTTGCGTCTGTGTGCGGTGAAATATTGTATGAAAATTAGAAGTGGCACGGTTGCAGCGCTGCTG